TGATAGATCTTTTAGATTGAGACTTTACACCACCTGATGCTAAAGGTAGCTCTTCTCTACTCAACACTTTTTGGTGGAAAAGATTGCTCACCCTGCTCAACAATTTCAGATAAAGAGGATTGTTCCCTCTATTCAAAATTGATTACTTTTGGCTCATCCCTAACTGAGGTTGGCTCATTCATATCTCTAAGTTCTGTTTCTTACTTATTTCAACCATTTGTGACTTTTTCTTGTAGAACCCCTATCGGTATTGAAACATCGTACTCAATAGTAACTCATGTAGTTTTTTCATTCTTTTTAGGGTTTGTTATGATTTTTTTTTATGAAAGACTATATCTTTGCTTCTGACTATCTTTCTCTTCACTAGATCCCGTACCTTATAACCAAATTTCTCATTATCATATCTTATAAACACACACTGTATGGCTTCACTGTCAAGCTTAGACCTCTACTCTTTCGGTACATGTATGAATGCTTTACACCTGAAAACTTTCAAGTGAGAGTATGAAATTTCTTTTCCTATCCATATTCTTTTTGGAATATCAAAACCCAAAGAAACTTATGGTGATCTGTTAAGTAAATAACAAGTTGTGCTGACTGTTTCGTCCTAGAATAGCTTTGGTAATTATACCATCCTCAACATACATTTGACTTTTTTCACAATGGTGCAGTTTCTCTTTTCAGTTATATCATTATGCTGTGGTGTTTTAGGTTCTGTCATTTTATACTTGATCTCATGCTTTAAATAGTACTTTTTAAAGTCTTTGGATGTGTGTTCCCTACCATTATCGATCCAAATATACTTCAAGGGAAGCCTTGTCATCTTTTCTACCATGGCATGAAATTTTTTAAAATATTGCAATGCCTAGCTTTTGTTTTTCAACATATACACCTAAGTCTTATGTGAAACATCATTAACAAAAGTAACAAAATACTTGATACCACCCAATGACTAAACCTTAATAGGACTACATATGTTAGAATAAATCAATTTCAATATGTTTTCTTTTCTCTGAAAACTCTTATGAAAAGAACTTTATGATGCTTGCCAAATAAATAATGATCACATGAATCGAAAGACATGCATTTGATCAGGGTAATAAGATACTACATTGCCAAAACCTATAACCCTTTTTCACTCATGTGTGCCAACCTCTTGTGTCATAAGTTTACTAAAGCATCATCCTCAATGATATTTATCTGGTTTCCATTCAATTACATCTATGTCTTGTACATTGTGCAGCATAGTTTTCCATTTACAACTAGCATAGATCCTTTCAAAAGTTTCCACTACCAATTCTTTTATCGATTATCATATTCTTCCTTATCAAGAATATTAATAGCAAGCAAGTTCATTATCATATCTTGAATGTGTTTAACATCTTTCAAAGTTAACATGCAGTCTGTATTAATTTGTACAACAATATCACTAATCCCAACAATCTACGACACACTCTTTTTTTTCATCTTGGTGCAACCAAAGTCTTTTACTTTGTAAGTTGTAAACAACTTTTTCTTAAGAACATAATGATATACCACTCTTGTGTCAACTATCCACTCAATGCCAAGATCACCAACATGATTATAATTACCATGTGTACAAATCAAAGTAACTAAATCATTATCTGAATTCATTGATGCAACATTACCATTATCTAGATGCTTGTCTTTTTTATCTTTCTACTTTTGCTTCAAGATTTTGCAATATCTCTTTATATGACTTGCTTTACCATAATAGAAATACTTCATTTTATCTCTGAATTTGGATCTATGTTTAGACTTAGTACGACCTTTTAAGTTTTGACCTCTGTCAATGTTTTTACCTTTATTCTCTATAACAAGAGCTTGATTCCTAGAGTCTTAAGTTTTTTTTGTCTTGCTTCTTCATTAAACCTACTATCATTTACCACTTTCAATGTTACCTTATAATCAGGAGCTGAATTAAGAATGGTCATAACTAGAGTATTCCAGTTGTTTGGCAATGAACCCAAAAGAAACAACGCCTTCATTTCATCATCCATCTTAAGCTTTATATTGGTTATCCGATTAAATATATCTTGACAATTACTTAAGTGCTCTGTAATCTTTTGTTCATCCATGAACTGTAAAGTAGTAAGCTTTTAACAAGTATAATTTTATTCATACTTATTTTTCTCTTATACAATGCTGTCAATTTTTCTCAAATATTGTGAATATTTGTCTCCTGCACTACATAATGGAACATGCTAATATCAATCCATTTTCTAATTGTAACAAGCGTCTTTTTGCCTAACTTCTTCTAGCTTTCATCTTTTATATTTGCTAGTTTAGCCAAATCACCCAATATTAGCTCATACAAATCTTTGCAATATAAACGATCCTCTATCATAGGTTTTCATAATTTAATGTTGTCAATTTTATCTTGGAACCTGTATCACCTTTCATGATTTGAAATAAAATTTACTTCTATCTTGAGCTGCTTTTGTATCAATGTCTCAAAATAATTCTTGCTCTAATACCCTTGTTGGGCCTAAAGCAATAAACACAACAATGCAGAAATAATATATCGTAATAAACTTATAACAATACACAATAATCAATAATCAACAACGTAGAAAAAATAAAACATACAAAAATTTATTTGGAAAACCTTCTAGTGTAGAGGAAAAAGTCACGGATTGCTAGAAAAATCTTTATTATCAAATAATTGATGTACAAAGTTCACCTCTAGCTAAAACTAGAGCTAATAAACAATTAGAGAAACAATTAAAGAAATCTCACCAAATAAGTGACTCAACAAATATACTCTGAATTTATTCTTAGAGAGCTTTAAATTCGATCTTCACCATTGAAAATGTAGAACTCTGAATCATAAATTTACTGACAAAATTTTAGCTCAATTAAATCACAGATTAACTTCCGTTTAACTAACTCTCTCTTTTCCCTTTTCGTTCCTCACCTTTAAACACAACCCCTCCTCTTCTTTTTATTAAGTAGTTAAAAGACAAAAAAAAAAAACTTTAGACCTTTTTAATTGGTCAAAACCAGTGGGGTTGGACCCTACATATCATAACAATTTCCAGCATCAGAAAGGTTAATGGTGCTGTTTCTGAACTTTCTAGTGTGGTGGCTCCTATGTGTCAAGAGCAGCCAAAACAGAAAGGAAATGAAAGGACTAACCAAAACCAGCTTGGTTCAAGGTAATTGTAATGGTGCTGTTGATAAAGGGTCCAAAGAAGATGGTATTGGCGTTGTCATAAAAGATGAGGCTTAGGAAGTTATAGCAGGAGTAGGAAAGAGGTGTGCTGTTAGGTCCAGCCTTGAAGCAGAAGCTGTGGCTTAGAGGGAAGGAGCCTGTCTTGCTGAGTCTATGATTGTCCTGGAGACAGTTTCGGAGCTACTTATAAGGAAAAAATGGAAAGACCAAAATACAAAAAAAAAAAATTTTCTTTGACTGTTTCACTTTTTATATTTTTATTGTACTCAAATAAATTTTTATTTTTTTATTTTTATTTCAAATAAAAAATTTATTTATGTTAAGAGTTTATTTAAGTATAAATTAAAGGTTAATAATTTATTTAGATACAAATTAAAGTTTAAAAGTTCATTTGGATGTAAATTAAAAATTAAAAAATTATTTAAGTGTAATAAAAATATAAAAATTTATCTAAATAAAATGATAAAGTTTAAGGATTATTTTATTATTATAGCCACAAGGAAATTGGAGAGTGTTCCCAGTCATGAAGGATATTCATGTCAGGAAACAAAAGTTGGAAGGGTTCAAATGTTCCTGGATCCATAGAAAAGCCAATCAGGCTGGGTTGGTGCTCAAGTCAAGAAGGGGATGTGCATATCTAACTTTGTAGACATAATCACATCCTCTTTTGTTCATATCTTGAGCAGGGATGGTTCACCGTTTCATCCTAGGATAGCTTTGTGACCTGGGTTAATTCAATTGACATTTTTGCGTAATGTTTTCTCTAGACGAACCAGGGGTTTTATCTTATTAAAAAAAAAGTTCAGTTGCATTTGATATGAATAGTCCATTTCATTTTACTCCATAGTTAGTTCACTCATACTATGACTGGTAAGAGAGAATTAGAGAGAAAGGGAAATGGAGAGGAAAGCAAAGAGGAGGGCAAGAATTCCTGGTTTCTTTGATTCTAGGAGGAACCTTGATAAGAAAGAAAGAAATGACGGGTAAAAGGATAATAAAAAGGCATAATCCAATTCAAGAAATTACACATCACCTTTTTTTTTCCTTCCCACTTTGAACTTCCTTTATACTTCTTTACGCCATAGGAGAAAATTGGTTCTATTTCTTATAATATTTTTCTTACACCTACTTTCATATTAGGCATAACATTCACCAATCCGAGGAGGGACCCTTTCATAACTTTTAAACTATTTATATTTGTTTAATTCTACCATTGTATTTTATGCTATATATATATAGATCATACACTATAATTTTAAGTTAATTAAAATTATATTTATCGAACTGATAAGTGTTAATTAAAAATATATTAAAATTTTCAACTGTTAAATTTTTATTGAAAAGATTATTTTATTTGATTTGATAGAATATCGAATTGATTTCGAATTTTATGTACACCTTTGGAGCAATTACTTTGTTAAATCCAATGACCGTTTTGTTAAACTATTAAACTTACACGAAATTATAAAAAATGTCAAAATTATTAATTTTATACTGCTGTAATTTAATTTCCTCCACCAATATAGAGCTATTATTCAACTGTATATGTAGATAATCACTAATCACTAGTTTTCCCCATCATCAAGATTGATCTATGGAATTTAGATCCTTTCTAGTACTTTCGCAATAATATTCTTCATTAAAGAATCAAGATCATCCATGGTTGAATCCAGGAATTAAGAATCACACAAATGTGAACAATCTTGATTGTAGTTGAAAAATATTGGGAAAAAAAATACTAAAATATAGAACTGGCTTTTTCCTGTGACAAATTGTGAAGAACTAACTTCGTGAACATCGTATGTAATATGAAATGGAATCTAGTTCTGTTACAAAGCATGCATACAATTTAGCATAATATATGCTTAGTATTTGCTTGAGAATCTAATTTTATAGAGTTAAAATTAACAATCCATACATTGCTGTCATAGCACTGATTATAAACAAACATTAATAATGTTCCATCATTCATAATTTTTAGTTCACACAAATTATTCTAGCAAATCGTCATAAAGATAGCTTTCCAGGGAAGGCATATACATTAATTTCCAGCCGATACACCTCTCTATCAGAAGAGCTTACCAATCATGAGCTCCCTTCGTTACACCAAGAATAATTGCAATTGTAGCAAGAATTGCCTGCAAGATCAGCAGTCCCGGTTAAAATGGTTAAGAATCTCATCGGAGGAAGAGAGGCAACAAAAGTAATCTTTTCTGTATTCGTGTTTGATAGACAGGCCTGAAACATGAGCTAAACAAGAACCACAACCAGTCTACTTGGAAGAAATATTGTTAAAACACAGGCAGCTTTGGATTAATATATAACCTATTCACCCATTGTCACTTAGTTTCTTATCATTTTCATATGATTAAAATTTTGAATTTAATAACCTTTGAACAACCTCATTACCAATTCAAACTATATAGCTTTTTTTTTTTTTTTAATATGTTCACTACTTTAGACATATAAACTCAATCTTCTGATCTTTCAATTCCATTTTATTAATCTTTTAGATGGTAAGTCAAAAATTAATTGAAACTGCCAAAAACACAAAAAGCTAGACGTGACCTTTGAGTGATAAACCATAGCCTAAAATATAAAAAATCGATAATCAATTCAATGCAGTATGGCATTCACAAATTGGAAAAAAAAAAAAAAAAACTGATGGAAAAGAGACTCACAGCAATTGTGCAGGCAATATATCCTGGTTTCTCTCGGTAGTCTATCCTTGCACAAAGTAGAAGACACAATCCAATGTACCAAGGGATGGTCCCAAGGAAGAAACCAATGATAAACCTTCAAAGAAGCATATTTCTCTTATAAATCAACAAAAAAATAAAATTCATGAAATATTTAAACGGTAGTTACAAATATGGAAAATAATACCAAGATAATAATAAATATTATTATCTGAATATCTTTCAGATAATAATATCAAGTTTTGGTTACACATCCACGTATCATTTGAATCCATTAAAGATAGAACAAGTTTTGGGGCATCTAGGAGCCACTTACTTAACAACATTGTGTGAAGGAAATAGGAACTTTAAGGTGACATGAAGAATTTAAGCATTTCACTTACGTTTATTGCATTAAGCTGCTAAGGAGGGATGGTATTAAATTCCAGCTATATCAAGGATGAATGTGAACATGGTATAGTTAACATATTACAAATCATTTGCAGTTGAAAATGGAAAAACCATCTAGGATGTGATCCTCAAGTAAGGCTCATTCAATACCAGCTCTTCTTGCACATCTTATCATGCATTGTCATGTATGCGAAAACATCACACCCACTTCAACTTTCTAATTATGATCATACTTATCCTATTAACAAGTCTATTCCTAGCCCCCCAAAACTCAATGCAATAAACCATAGTTCTTACATATTTTCCTGCCAACATGATAGGAGACCTCCGATCAAACAGTACAATATATTAACTTCCTATATTTTAAGCTGTAACTTCTTTCTTTTTCATTTGTTTTTCTTTTTTGCGTTTTTTTAACCCACAACAATTGGAGACAAAGGAAAATAATTTGTTAAATTTACAGCCCAATGACATATTCATTAAGCTGTTATCTATTTGACTTTATATTTTGAAAACTCTTAAAATAAAGAAAACTATGTATGACTTACAAGAACCATCCAATACCAATGCCACAGCACGGTAGGCGACGCTCTCTTACAGGTCTTCCTTCAGCAACAGCATAACCTAGGCATCAAAGATATCAAGAGACAAAGCAATTTAGAATAATAATTTTTCAGCCACATAATGCAGGCTTTGTTGAATCAGAAGAAGTACCATTTCAATTCATTTAAATTGTTATCGATACATTTTATATACAAGAAAAGAAGCTAGGACACATCAACCTGAATTACACAGCATACCAATCTTACACTGATCTACCGATACATATCCATGAAGCACAACATTCTAACTCTTCACACGAGTTTAGCAACCTAAGTTTTTTCGTCACAAGGGGCATCTTCTGACATTTGATAGAAACAAGTTTTGCATGATTATAAATGAATTCTCATTTTTGCGTCAAAGATCAATTTGGCTAATCTGAACTTTTTCCCCAGTTCCTGAAAGGTTTTATGCATGTTTCCCTCAAGTTCAAGGTTGTTTGTTGATCAATATTGCTACTTTTCGAGAGGATAGTCAAAATACCCTGATTAAGCCCGGCATTTTACATATTTTAGAAGGATTTGGTTAATGATTTAATGACTTATATGTTTATATCTATTCTTTTATCTCTCAACTTTCGTGGAAATCTACTTGCATTCTTCTTAAACTATTACGAAATTTAATATTTATAGTAAAATATCTCTGCTATAATAGCAAAAACTGGGATCTTCCTCACCCCTATTCAGGTCACAACCCCTTTTCTTCCTTCCATCAAAAACCAAAATCCCAAAATTTCCTGCTTTTACAAATATCACTCATCCCCAAGAATCAGAAACACTTTCTATTACATCGGAAAAAAGAGCAAAGCTTCTTATATATCTATGCATTTATCTCTCTTATTTCTATGCTACAAAACTTCTAATATTTAAACAATTTTCTTCTAAAAGGTCAAAAACTTGGATCTGTTATCTAAAAAAAAAAACATGTAAATTCTTCCATCCAACAAAAACCCAAATCTCAAAATCCTTCCTTTTGATTGATTAATCATAAAAGAACAAGAAACGTTTTTCTTTTTTTTTTTTTTAAACTACCTGGAACGGTTTGATAACCTTGGGGATAATACTGCGGAGGAGGAGCAGAGGGCTCATGGAGGCCAGGCGGTGGAACAGGCTGAGGAAAGCCAATAGCTGGTCCATGGTGCTGCTGCTGAGGAGGTGGTGGAGGAGGGTAGTTGGCTACTCCTTGGAAAGTTCCATAGCGATGATGCTGATGATCTTCAACTACAGCTCTGTTTTTCTCTTCACCACTCATTTTGTCTTTTTTTCTTTGGGGGAGTTTTGGTGGGGAAACTGGGATCTAGTTATGGTGATGAATCAACTAGAAAAATAATTTTTAAAAATGGTTTCTTTGATATTAAGGCTTTTCGTTTTGGAGTGGTGGGATCAGATTTGCAAAGCTGCCTAGCTACCAGTTTGTCTTCTTAATTTGACTAAAATCATCAAGGTAATGAATTTTCCTTTTTTTTTTTTTAACGTGTGAAAGTGGATTAAACTCAGTCAATTACAAGCATACAACGAAAGTAGTACTAAGTATTAACACTTTTTAAAAACTTTTTCCAATATTAAAGTATATGATTTTTATGATCCAAAAAAAAATTTTCAACGTTTTTTAATTTTATTTAGGATTATTATTTTATAAAGTGTTAACAAGTCATTTGAATTTAATAATTTATATTATATAAAATATTAATAATTTATATGTTTATCTCATATTTTATATAAAATTATTTATTATAATTTATATTAATATAAAAAATAAAATATATATTTTAATTTTATTAAATTTATTTATATTTTTATTAAAATTTTAAATTATATAAATTATATTTTTTTAACGTTATTATTATATTATATTTTAAGTTTAAGTTTAACTTCTTTAACAATATTTCATTGCACTTTATTTTTTTAAGTTTGTAATTGTCAATTTGACAAATTTAATTTTTTTTCAATACTTAGTAATTCAAATCCAAAAATTTTTTGGTAGGGCTTTTCTTCTTTCGTTCCATCTTTTTTTTTTTTTTTTTTGAAAACATTAACAAAAGTCCTACCAATAATTTACCTTTACATAGCATAGTCTGCTTTCTTTAGCGTATAACTTTTCCTATGAGAAACTTTTTTAATATAATTAAAAATAAAAATAAAAATATTTGTCATCTAAACTTAATTAATTTATTCTTTGATTAATCGTTGTTATCCAGGACCAAAACAAAGGTCTAGAAAAAAAAAAATTCCAATGGTTACATGATGCTTTTGCTTCAAGTTTAATACTACCATCTTAGCATACAAATAATGAATTTACTCTCCCCAAATTGATTAAGAAAAAAAGTACAATTATTTTGTCACAAAATAATTAATATATAGCTAATAATCAAATTTATAAAACATGGTAGGTCCATAAACAAAGAATATGGATGCATGTCCCTATCAGGTTCTGACCTAGCTATGATTAAACCTTCTTAAAGCCTCATGTGAAAGAATTTTTGGTGCAATTTTATCACATAGTTTTGGTGTCCATGAAAAACAAGTTTTTGTGTAATCTTTCTAGTAGCCTGAAAACTGGGAAAAGTGAAACAAAAATTACAGGCCAAGATGCAGAAGATACCATTATTTCATGTCTTTGGGGAATGTAGCAGATTTTTTGCATTAAGGGTAATGAAAAAAAAATTATTATTTTCAGTACTCTAGATCGGAGTCAAGAGATCAAACTGTATTAGAGTTTAAAACAACCTCATATTTTACATCAAAAAGTGGAAAAACAACATTAAAAACTTAGCTTGAGTATGCAACTGTCTCTTAAACAAGTAAGCTGAGAAAACCAGTAACTTAATATGGTTTCAACACGATTGAAACACAGGGAGATGACACTGTTCTTTTATTTGATTGTTTATTTGTTCTTTACAATCAAGTAGCATCTCCAGGCATTTATTTGGCATATCCAATGATGTCAAGGCCCGAAATTGTAGCACAAATCAAATCTGTGCACGTGTAGATAGTTCAGCAAAAACCTCAACTGGCTTTGGAATCCAAATCTTGCAATCCACAAACCATATTTGCTGGCACTGCTACATCAATCATCTTAGGATATGGCAAGTTAAGATCTGTTGCACCAACAGAAAGAGAGGAGAAATTAGAAGTCCCGATTGGCAACCACTCACAGAGGAAAATTTTTGTTTTCTATCGACTGGATGTATTGAGCATCAACTTACTGTCCATGATGCTTTTGAATGTCTCCTGCAAAGGGTTTTCAACAAATAATCATCATACATGCTGATAGGATTAAATTGAAACAAGTATTCTTTGCCCATAATAAAGATTAATCTTCCATCAAATGCAAGAGCATACTGAAATGTCATGTTTTTTCATGCATGACAATATCAACATGTTCTAAAGCAAAGAATCTCTTTCCTGTTCTACCCCGGCCACATTCACTGGAATAGTCCCATCCAAGAGAACCAATCTCATCAACAAATGTTCTATGCATGCTTTTTGTAATTTTATTTAGCCAAGTTATATGCAGTTAAAAAATGGAGTTATCACAAACAATGTTTCATAGACAAGGAAAACCTTCCGTGTCACCCCAAAAAAAAACTTTTTTGTAGAGATCTGCACTGAACCTATGAGTTATTATTCGCTTTAACTTGAAGGTCTTATGATTTTGTTTCACAAGACGTCTCACAAATATGGGTTCAAGTCTTTAGATATATACTATCACAAGTATGGGTTTAAGTTTCTACATATTTACCAAAAGAAAGGGATCAATCTTAATTTTTTTACTTTTAAAAGTAACAAAGCCATCTTTCTTTTTCCTTTAATGATGCCAGAGGAGGACTAAACTTTTAGCAACATGCTGGCCATTTAATTATGTCACAAACAGTGCTAATTGGAGTTCCATAACATTTCATATATAAAGTCTTAGGAGATAGAAAATGAGAGGAAACGAAGGTTCTATTGCCATTTGATAATACATACATGATCATGTATTTTCTACGGCAAAGAAAATATGGATTGTTTCGGAAAAGAATACCTCGTCTTTTGTTAAGCGAGGATTGTATAGCATCTCTTCTCCAACTGTGGTTACCTATAATCAACGAGTTTTATGTAATCAAACATCAATTTATATATGTATGAAATGAGAGGAATTGAGTTTTTATCTTACTGTTAATCCTTTGTAATCATGAGCTGGATATAGCAATGTCTCCTTGGGCAATGTAAAAATCTGGATCCATGAAACAAAAGTGCACATATTTTTAGTTTAAAATTTTGATAATTACAAGAAAGAATTCAGCAATTCTCAAAGAAAGGGCCCAGAATAGATCTCCTGTCCTAACCTGCGAATGCACTGACTTGTAGAGTTGCTGTGAACTTCCACCCTGCAGAAAGAGTTAATTGGTACTAGTCAATCGCTACTGAACCTTGGAGCCCTAAAGAAATAATCTTAAAAACTAAAGTAGAACAAACACCCTGGAAACAGCCCAAATATGGATTACATTGCTATCCATATGAAAAGAAATTGCCATATCCTTGCTTATAACATTATGATACTCACAGACTGAAATCCACAGCAAAAAGAATAACCGATAGCTCTATAATTTTAGTTGCCCAAGTTACTGATCGGTCAGAGTCTCAAATTAGCAATGATTCAATTACTGTTATTCTACCATGTGGCTTGTGAATGACAAACACTAGTTACACTACTACCAAGTATGTGCAGCCATAATAACAAGGTAAGCATGGCTATGTAGAATGTAACTGGGAGCATGTTTCCCATGCATCAGTCTTAATGATCTGAAACACAAACAGAGCATGCAAATTAAAAGCAAAACAGTAAATTATTCATTAAAAAATCCCTACATGGAACAAATATCAGTGGTTCAATATCCATTAGTCGTCCAAACATCACGTAGAAACATACAAAAATCTTAGAGTGCATAAGAAAGCTGAGGTTGGTTGAAATACTTAATGTGTTGGACTGATTCTAGTATCCTTAATGGCTCTGATTGTTTGATATTAACAATATTAATATTAATTCATTTCATTTTTTGCATCAAGCTGCAATATCATTTTTCAAGACATTATACCTGAAAATCTGTCCTCCCACATCCCCTTATCAATAGGGCATCTCCTGTGAAAGCCATCCTTGGCTGGGGCTGATCAGGTCCATACCCTGTGACATATGTAACACAGCCCATAGTATGACCGGGAGTAGCACGAACCTGCAATTATGCATACCATTTAGAAGATAATTTATGATGCAGAAGTCTACATCAGTCTGGCATAACTTAATGCGTTTTATTAAATATTTCCCGAATCGACCACTAGCTCTTCATAGATCAATGATATTTCAATTATATTATACATGCAGCCATATTTCTTAAAACAAGTTCTCTAAACACTCAGCAATTAGAAACTCCAAGAAAGCAAGTTCTTGTTTCAACAGCCTGCTAAATCTTTGCCAAGAATATGAACCAGAATTGTACACCAAGTACATATCAATATTTATCCTAAAACCATGGACCTGTCATAAATCATATTTCATCAAAAGAAGGCACTTTTGCCGATCTGTCAAAAAAAAAAAGGCAAGAAAGGAAAATTTTCTGTTTTATTAGCATTATCAGGATGTCAGACTGGAAGTTTGAATCCCATTTAAAGCCAGTGGCAACTGGCAATTTGCTAATGGCTCAGTAGTCAAGAGAGAAAGTTTAAGTTACATTTAAGACAGTTAGGAAAAGGCATTTCAAGTCATTAAGGCAACATACCAGCTATGCTTACTACAATAGACTTCAGCTCTTTTTTTTGGCCAACCTTACTTAAGTTCATTAAGAAACACTATTCTCTTGCTATTTGGATTGTTTGATTTAGTTGGATCATAAGTTTCTGATTCAATTCAATAAGCATCACGAAAGTAACACCGATAATATTTCTAACAACAAAAGCTATCCTTTGAAAATCAGGGTTACTTATCTCAGGAAAAAAACAAAGAATTTTAATCTGAAGAAAGATTTTGCTCCAGATGATAATTTCACAATAATTCGAAATTTTATTGGTTAAGGTAAAATGAAGACATTAAAATGTTGATCATAGTCCATCAAGATTCTGATTCTCAAATTAAATTAGGAAGAACTGGATCAAATGCCTTGGAAACTGCAATGTCGCGAAATGGATGAAATGGAGTAAGGACTACAATGGAATAAACTAATGTGATTGTTTCTCCTCCTCTGACCTAAGCAATTGATCTAACAGCTATGGATGCAACGACCAAGAATTAAACAGAATATAGTGCAGCAGTAGATTTAATGGCCATTATTTTCATAATGCTCATTACATAAAAAAATCAAGTTACCAATTAAATGGCAAACCTTTAAGAATGCTGATAGTGGTATCTATGTAGTACACACCTTACTCTGTCACATCTCAAACTTCATTTTGTTAAATTTGACAGCATAAAAGGAATACCTAAACTACACGAACACCATAGCTCTATTCTCTAGTATTATTCAAAAGATCCATACATTGAAACTGACAGCAAAAGCAGTTTGACATACACATGCCTACCTCAAGAAAGAGATTTCCAAAACAGATTTTATCACCAGGTTCAACAAAAACATCAGCCTTGGAACCACTCGCTTTTGAAATAACAGATTTGAGACCAGGTGCCTTGCCCTGCAGGAAACAATCACATTTATATACAACAACAAAGCAACAAAATCTATCCCCTGAATGGTTAGAACCTCAAACTTTCAATTCAACGGTCTCAGGTTTGAAGTTTAGGAAAGAAGATTAGATTTCATATGATAGAAAACAATCTTAGCAAAAATAGTAGAATCAAACCAAAAAAGAATGGTGGATTAAAAAGTGAGATGGAGAAAACCTTGATGAGGCCAGTTCCAGTGACATGATCAGCATGTACATGAGTGTTCATGGCATAAATAAGCTTCAACCCCAATTCTTTAACCAAACTTAAATCTCTATCAACTGTGCTGTCTACAGGGTCAATCAACTGCACAACCAGTTCATCAGATCAAATAACATTAAAAACCCAAAAACAAACAAAACCCATATTTTATTTTCATGAGAAAAACATAAATATTACTAAAAAAGACTAACGAGGGCTGGTTTATCAGGGTGAGAGAAATCAGCCAGGAGGTAAGTATAAGTGGAGGATTCTTTCTCAAACAGCTGACGAAAAAAGAGCTTTGGAGATGATTGAGAAGACGACGTCGTTAAAGTCCCCATTTGTGATCGAAGGACAAAATTGATGGTTTGCTTTGGAGAGAAACCGAAAGAAGAAGAACGATTAAGAAAAGGAGAAAAAAGACAGGGCCTTATGAATCTCAAGTTCAGCATTGTCAATTCCGCTTTATGGGATGGTTGGGGTTTTTCTTAAATATAAAAAACGAAATCAAAACGTTCAGAACAAAGTTTAAGCTTTGATTTAGAGAATTTTTTTTTCATGTTATCTTTGGTTTGGTCTGTATTGGAAAGTGCTTCCACATCACCTTCGCATTCTTTAACGGTTTGTCAGAAAAACAGTGGGCTGATCTGAATCGGACGGGCTCCTGTCCTTTATCAACTTTCCATTACCGAAAAAAGAACAACTAACACCATGAAATATTAATATAGAAATTATTAAGTTTAAGTGCGCTGCGCTGTTGATTGATTGGGTTTAAGTTTGTTAAGATACTTTAAACTATAATTTTTTATAAATTTATTGAATATAATATAAATAAATTTATTTTTATTGATAAAAAAATATTTCGAATAAAATTTAATAATTTTTTTGCGCTTAAAAGTACAAGATCAAATTTGTTACAATAATATAGTTCAATATTAAATTTTTTTGTACTTTAATTTTTTGAATTTTCTCATTCTAATTTCAATTACTATTGATTTTTAAAATAAAAAATAATTCCATTATTTATGTTAACAATTTAACAAAATCGAAATTATAATGAGGAAATTCAACGAAATTAAAGCAGAATAGGTATAATTTATACATGTATCAATGATCGGCATCAGCCTTCAGGAAAAGGGAAAAAGGAACCTTATGGTCAAACTGCTGGAAAACTTATCAGATCAGCAAAATGGAATAGGGACATTGTATTTTTAACTTCAGGCTGTACAGACAAGAAAAGAAGATGAAACTATTGCACTCAAGACTCGGTGTACTTTTATCAACATGTACAACTGTTTCATTTTCAGATTTTACATGGATGATAAGATTGTATAACAAAGAATAAAAAAACATGAAAATTCACAACAAACCATATATGCGTTTGGTATGCATCTAACTCTATTGCTGTAACACTACCACTGTTCTTCAAAACTCGTTAATTAAAAAAATCAATAAATGCAAAGGACTCAGCAAACCTAAACTTTAGTATCAGTGTGAGGAGTGTCTTCAACCCTTTTCTCGCATTCCAAGTTTCCTTCAGGAGGTTTTGGTTTGGGGGACTCAATCAGTCCATTACCGAGCTTAATGGGACTGTTCACCTCATCTTCATCGATTTCATTAGGGCCTTCAACACTCATTTTCTCTGCTTGTCCCTCAATGCTTATTGGAGGGTCCACTTCGTTGCTTGAATCTGTCAGAATGACATGCTCCTGAGTATCATGATCATCGTCATTGCCACTGGAACTGGACATTCGATTGAAAACAACTGGCATTGGCTTGACTCCAGGGGATGACCAAGATTCATTATCATCAGAGTCAGGTTCTATTGAAAACTCTTGTTCTGTCACATCTGACAGATCATGAGATTTTTTTGACCCTTTACGGGACAGAACATGTTTTATGCTACGAGCAGATTTCTCAGCATGCTTCAAAATACTCTTTGCCATATCTTTCATTCTGCTAGGGCTTTCTGGTCTGCTTGCTGTAGGACTCAAGCTTCCTTCATTTGAGACCTTATCAGAAGAAGGCCCTGAAAGATTGTCATCTACAACAAACTTCACCAAAACTTCTTTGTCATTGACTGCTCTGAGGTTTGCATAGGGAGATGAAACCACCTCTCCAAGGCTGCCTGAGTGACCCTCTCTTTTGGGACTCCTGTGAAATACAGTACTGATCTTCCGTAAACCTCGCTTAACTCTGTTGACTCGATTCTTTGCATCCGGATTTTCTTCAGCACTGCTGTGGTCACTTTTAGGGGATCCAGAAGCTGCTGAAACAGTCTCCATGCTTCTAGCCTTCCCTTTTCTAGGTTCCCAAGTCTGTGGCACTTCACTTCCAGGTTGATGGATCCATATCCCAGTTTCTTGTTGTCCTTCAACATTTATAGGTTCAAAATGATCTGGCAGGTTTTGAGATTTCATCGAAGATATGGGTGAGAATGAATCTTTATCAGCAGATTTAGTTGAAAAGGAGTTTTGTATATCTTCCTTGTTCAATGGTTCAGCATCAACTGCATCATCACTTCCCTGTGTAAATTGTCCACAGACTCATTTTAAGTTTCTCTGCGCATATCTTTAACTCATAAAAGCATTTTGTTACGACTGCAAGTTAAAACTTTCCAACTTTCACTTGTTGACATGTGGAACTTAGAATAAATTACCTTAGTGTTATCTTCAAGCACGGTAATTGCAAGATGCAGTCTTCCTGTTTTAATCTTTTGAAGTGGCAACCACATGTCATGTCTCTGGCCACCCCTAAAATCACCGATATTTACTGTGCAATTACTGTAAATGGTAGCAAAATCAGTACATCAGATGAAGATTCACAAACCGGTTATAAGGAGTTCAGAAAACAGAATATGAAAAAAAAAAAAAAGATTAAGAAACAACAAACAACTACTTCCAACCATTGGTATTAACAAGGGCAAGCCAATCGAAAATTAAGATTAAGATCACAAAAGCAACATTTGATGATATCAAATATCATGGATTACTTCTGTAACACATCAGACTAGTCAAATGTAACAAGACAACATGCCTTAGGATCAGCAAATACTCCTCATACAGCCAGAGATAAGAATTATTATTTGAAATCAAGGCAAACAACAGATTCATTTTGCAAGCATCGAGCATGTACTAGTGATCCCCCAAAAAGAAAGAAAGAGATTAAAAAGACACAAAACATTATAGAATAATATCAAGAAGACAAAAATAACATGTGGTACAATTACATAGTTGAATGTGAATACAATATAATCTAGTTTTATCCACCGACAACATATGGAATGATTAGTTTATGCCACAATTTTCATGAGCTGTTGAGGCCATGGTCAGCAAACTTATTATTTGAAATCAAGGCAAACAACAGATTCATTTTGCAAGCATCGAGCATGTGCTTGTGATTCCCCAAAAAGAAAGAGATTAAAAAGTTTATGCCACAATTTTCATGAGCTGTTGAGGCCACAATATAATCTAGTTTTATCCACCGACAACATATGGAATGATAAGTTTATGCCACAATTTTCATGAGCTGTTGAGGCGGTGGTCAGCAAACCTATTATTTGAAATCAAGGCAAACATCAGATTCATTTTGCAAGCATCAAGCATGTGCTAGTGATCCCCCAAAAAGAAAGAGATTAAAAAGACACAAAAAATTATACAATAATATCAAGAAGATAAAAATAGCATGTAGTACAATAACTTAGTCAAATGTGAATACAATATAAACTAGTTTTATCCACCGAGAGCATATGGAATGATAAGTTTATAACACAATTTTCATGAACTGTTGAGGCGATGGTCAGCAAACTAATATCTATTAAATAACTAATCCCATTTACTTCAATTTTATAAAAACATAATTTCCTCCGAAGGATGCTATTTCTAAAAGATGAAGTAGCTGCTATGGAAAAAGGGGTCAGCATAGTGCAAAAACCATGAGCCTCAAAATATATCCATAAACAATAAGGGTAATAAAAAAAAAGCCCCTGGAAGAATTCAAACATGACTCCACAATATCGCTATTTTAGAGTTTCAGATACAGACCCAAGCGTATCATCAACAAAATGGTCCTTGTCACGAACTTCAATAATCAGAACATTAGGTGTCTCCCACGTGCAGACAGGGATCATAAATTCCTCATGCCATTTTGGAGACAAAGTTTTCTTGTGCGTCTTAGTCCTGAATCTATAAGCGCCAAGTCGCCCCTTCACATATGGATCAGCCAATCCTGAAAATTTATATCCAATCATTGACCATAAAACCAGATATTACATGAGGAAAAGATAAGAAACTGGATTTAAAACTAACCATTAAAATCCGAAGGTTTCATATCAGATGCTTCAATAATTGCAACCTTGGCATGAGCAATAGGTTGCTTCTCATCAACAGAAAACCAGTTTTCTGGCGTATATAATCAATGACAAGGTGAATGAAAAATATATAAGTGACATAAGAAATATTGACTCATGACAATAGTTAACAGGTTATGACCTGAGAAATGAACAATGGTTAAAAATGGGGAAAATAATGAGACAAATTACCTGGCTGGGGTGATGCAAACTTCTCAACATCAACAACCAGCATGTTGGGCTGCAAAAGAAACAAACATTTAGAGCTAAAGTTCAATGTTCAATCCAAAGAGGCACAATGCTGGTAACTTAAACCCGTAAGTGCATCCTGAAACTGAAAAATTCATTTGCAGATTATAGGATGGAATTATGACATGGAAGACTCAGAGAAACTTGAAAAGGAAACTTGAGACAGCAAAAGAGAACAATGGAACGGTTTTATAGCACAAAGAGTTAAAAAAAACTAACCTCAACAAGCGTCTGCTCAAATGCAATTGAGAGAAGCTTATCCTATCCAAGCAAAAGAGGATACCCAATAAGACTGGGAGAAAGGAGAGATGATAAAAAAGAAGTTGAAGATTTATTCAGAATAAAAAATTATTACAAGCCATCCAGCAATCCCTGGAAGTTCAGTAACATCAAGTCCATGTGTAAAGATAGGTTTCACAGTCATCTGGAAATATGGAGGCTCAGCAAAGCATACTCGCAGACGGCCAAGGAAAGGCCACTGCCGGATAAACTTCACCCCAACCAAGACCTGCAAGACAGAGGAATTGGTAAGGAAAGAGTAATAATGGCAATTAAATAATGGTAACTGAGCAGAAATAAGTATTTGCAGGGGGTGGGATGGGGTAAGAAATAAGTAAATGTCTTGAATCTTAAGGCAGTCCAACATTATGTAGAAATTTCGAATTCCAGACACTTTAAATAAATGGAAAAGTGATACTTATTCTAAATACTATTTCAAATTCCTAACACTGTCCTACCAAGCTTAACCCACTTAGTTTACATTCCTCTTTGTGCACAAAAATGAATTAATGTGACTATCCATGTCTCGGACTCTTCATTTATGGTGTTACAGTTTACCAAACCACGGTTATAGGAGCTAATATTTAGCACTCCTATCAAAAGCAACCCATAGATTTTGCATTCTTGTTAATGAATCTTCTGCACCAAGTTGACACCTTCTGGTAGGCTAAAAGTTTGACTTTCAAAATTCATTGATAGATCATAAATATAATGAAATTCAACTGCTACAGTTCTTCAGGTATATTCTCGTTTCTTTGAACTCCTACTAGCCCAGTCATACCTCTTCCAAAAGAGGTACAGTTGCATTACCCCCATTCTTTATTGCATCAATTAAACTTCACACCCATTCAATTTTCTTAACATATCTACATATGGAAATTCCTCCACAGCACTACTGTTGATAAGAGACTGTAAACTCTTTTCATATGCAAATTTAGTAGCTAATACTATAGCAAAAATAACATTTCCATATTTATCAGTACCTTTCCTTCAACATGCATGCCTGTCATATGCAACTTTGCCCACATTCCAAATCCCAGTCTTTTCCTTAGTTTAACAGCAAGAATTGCACTCATGTCATCTGCTGTGAGAAAATTCATTCCCAACTCCAGTACCTGCAAAATTAAAACGAGAAATTGAAATTTCTGCTATGGGTAAAAATGTAATGAGAATTCATAGCCACGATGATTATATAGAGAGGGGTTAGACAAAATATATACCAAATGGTCATCATCACAGCATTGGCGAAGAACCCTCATCTCTGTGAACAAAGGTGGATTTCTTCCCAAATATAAGTGATGAACCACAGCCTTCTTCTGCATGTATAGCATTATTATCATCAAATATTCACAAAGTGGATTAGAAAATAATCATCTGCTGGTCATTGAAAGTAACTTCACATGCACAAATGCAAATGTTGAGATCGTTATTCTTAAAGTAAACTGCCATACATTTCTATTCATGCCATAGCGAATAGGGAACACAGATTCAGAAATTGAAACAAAAAAATACAAATTAACTCATCATATCTTGAACTAAAGTTGCACCTTTTACTAAAACAGAACCTTTGTGTAATGATTTTCCAGAGATAAAGAATAAAACAGAAGTATTAAGCAAAATTCATACAGCAGTCCATGGTTTGTACTTTTCCAAGAACCAAGGTATGATTGGAAGCAGAATCTTCTGTGATGCAATCTGTTCCATACAAATAGGCCATATCTTTTCAACAGCATGGTTTAACCACCGAACTGATTCGGAATCAGAAAGCACCTGAAAATAATGAAAATGCCAACAAAGAATTAAAGACAGACTTTATAAGATCAAAATCAAGAATCCAAAACTTGACTTTGTATCCATATACATCACATAAAGAATAAATCAACATAAAGTTGAAAAACTGATGCCTCTCCTTGTTTTCATAAAAGAGGCAGAATTCCAAACCTTTTCTCAATACCCAAGAGACTAAAATTTGATCAACAAAAGAAGCCATTTAAGCAAAAAAGAAAAACCTCCTCTATAAAAGAAAAAAAAAAAACAGATTTGATAAAGTTGAATGCTTACTATTTGATAAATGAATAAAAAAAAAACTACTAAATCAGAATTACCCAGATGAAAAAAAAATCTAAAATGACTAATAAATAAAACGATCAGAATCAGAATATTACAATAGTTTACAAAAATAAAAGAAAAAGAAAACAAAGAAATTGACAATTACCCTTCTCCTAAAAGATTGCCTTTTTCCCTCAAACTCCAATTTCTTCCCCAATCTCATTACATACCTTTCATGAACCTTTGATTAACAAAGAAATAAAACCCATCAGAAAACAAATAAAATAAATTGAATTTTCACAAAAAAAAAATGCTAATCCAAAAACAGGAGTAGAGAAGTTTATGAAAAAAAAAAAAAACAAAAGATTCTATTTTTATCAAAAGAAATTGAGCGAATTACCAAGTAGAGGTAAATGAGAGACACAAAATAAGCAACAGGATGGCAAAGATCGAAGTGAGAAAGTATCCAAAGCAGCACCAAAACTATTACAACATGATGCATTATTGAACTCTCCATCAAACCCATTTCTAAGAAACATAAAAAAAAAAAATACCCACTACAACAAAGATCACAGCTTTTCAGTTATTTTTCCATAACCCAAATCACCAAAAATCAGAAAAGAAAAGAAAAACTTTCATGGAGATTTTATTGGTAGAGAAAGAAAGAAGGAATCTGAATCAATGAGTTGAATTAAAGGGATGTGTTTGTCTGAAATTTATTGTGTATTATGAATGGAAAAACAGTTATTACAGTAGCAGTTTACATTTTTACATTACGATCTGGGCAGAGTTTTTTTTTTTTTTAATTAATTAAATATTCAAAAATAGCTTTGAGTAAGGTGAAGTAGTTTGACTGGTTACCTCGTGTGAAAACGCTATCGTATAGTCGAAGCAAACGCATAATTAGACAAGAAAGGAAGAAAATGGGGGAAGTGCCCGATTTGGATTTTTCTTTTTTTTTTTTTTGAGGGGAGGATTTTTTTATTTAGTTTTTTTGTGCAAAAATGTTGTGAAATAAAATTTTATTTTTCATTTGATAAGTAATGTTTTTATTTCTGATAAAATTTTTCTAAAAGAATAATTTTACCTTCCTGTAAAACTATTCAATGAAAAATTTTAAGCACTTAGGATTTATCTTATATTTGCTTTTGTTTCTGTCATCCAATGACCATATATTAAGATAATATAATTAAATAAACATATGATAAATAAATAAATAAATTTGTTTGTACCAATTGAATGTTAGTTCAAATAACATATACGTTCGTCAGACTTTTCATTTTTGAGATAACTTAAGAATGTAATACACTATCAAATAAATTAATAGATAGAGATTGAAAGATTAAGAGTAAATTAAAAATTTTTAAAAATAAATAAATAAATTTACTTGTACCCATCTTAAATTCCACTGTCATTTACCCCATAAGATAACTTTCTAGTTTTCTTCTCAAGATTGTATTGAAAATAACAAAATTAAGAATTCATGTGTCTTGACTCTGGACATAAGTGATTTTATGTTCAATGGTATTCAATAAAGGAATTAATGCTTAAGATTGGCATTTTAATTTGAAAATCAAAAGAATTTATTTATTAAGAATTTTATATACATAAAAATAGATATATTCATAATCGACTAATTTATCATATGTATGATTTAATCCGAATCAACTTAATTTTTTAGGGTTTGAGTTTAATTTAAAAATATTTTTATTTATTATTAAAATATATTTAACAATAATTTTAATATTTTAATAATAAATATAAAATTAAATAAAATAATTAAACTCAAATATGAATTTAAATTTTTATTATGTCAGTTGATTAAAATTTGGCTAGATCCAGTCCAATATGAGCATTACTAAAAAATTATATATATTAACTTTTATGAAAATGATAATATTAAGGTCTTAATTAAGTCTTAAGGAACCTATAATGAACCACCAATTATCAGGTGAGAGTAAAAAGTGGTGGAGGTGTATTTGTGAGCGTCAAAAAATAAAAAGAGATCTGAGACAGAAATGATCCGAGTTGGGAATAAGTCAATTGAAACAGGTTGATTCTTTTGTATCTGGTAATGCCACTTTTTGGTGTTTTTGAGTCATTTGACTGGCTGTTGGGCCGTGTGCCAAATGTCCATTGAACATTCGTCCCTTTTTAGGTTCTGGGGACGTTTAATCATTCCCAATCTGATTGTGTCTAACGCTATAATAGGGACCCACTTGGAAGGTGAGTAGGATGTGTTACATCAATGATTTGTTGATGTAATAGAATCAGTTGCAGAGGATCCAAACGCAGGGGAACAACAGTAAGAAATGACTGGCAGTTTTTTTTTTTTTTTTTTTTTAATTAAGATGGAGCCGTGATATAATGCGTTGAGGATATTAAATACGATAGAAAAAATGTATTAAAATAAAATTTAAAATTTTAATAAAAATTACATATAATTAAATAAAAATAAAAATATATTTTTTATGTTAATGATATTAATAATATAATAATTTTAAAATTTTATACATATTTAATATAAAATAAATGTAACAAAAATATATGCATTATTATATTTATCATGTTATATATTATATAGTTTTTATTGATAAATTTGATAATTTATGTCATCATATTGTATTTTGTATTAAATATAATTTCATATATGACACAAATAATCTTAATATAAGTACGACACGAATATTTAAGTGACACAAATAATTAAAATATAAACATGATGCAAAAATGATGTAAATTATTTTAGAATTGAAGTTGATTTGTTTTATAAAAAAAAAGATATCAATGAATTTTTATGAAGTTGTTTCATGAAATTCAACCAATTATTTTAATCATGGGATATTATCGAAAAATAAAAATCTGTTTAATATAATTATATACGAATAAAGATTAGACACAATTAACTATTTAAATAATATAACACGATACGATTAATACGATTATAAACAAATAATATGATCAAATATGATTAATTTATTTATTTAAATAAAAATATCATTTGAATTAGTATTTATAAAAAATAATTTAAAATTAAATATTTATAATCTATTTAACACTAAAATGATGTAATAAATATGATTATTAATTTATTTGTTAAATAAATTAAAATAATTTTTAAATTTTTTTATGTTATGAATAATATTATATCTTAAGCATATCATTATTGTTTAACATAAATACGATATAAATAATGTTTTGTTTTAATTATGTTGACATGATTAAGATATAAAATACGATTATATTAAATTCATATATAATAATTTTTATATTTTTTTATATTATATTTAAAATTATTAAGTCTAATTATTGGCTGAGATTGAACCATTGAATAAGTTCATTAAGAATTTGATTATATGCAATGAATCTAGTTTTTAATTTTCACCAAAAAAAAAAGAAAAAAAAGAATCTAGTTTTTATAGCATTAATACTCCAATAAAGTATAACTAGTAAGACAAATTCCAACCACTCCTTTTCCTCACATGGGGTCATATTCTGATGGTTGACATACAGGTTTGTTGTTGTATCTAGCTGTACAATTAGGGGCTATGTGGAAACGCGCAATTCATTTTTTCAAATGTTCAATTTTATTTTATGCATATTTTATTTATTAAGTTTTGAGTGAAAATGATGTTAATTTTAATTTACAGCTAGCCTTTTTGGACCCAAAATAAATATGTATTTATTAATTAAATTCTATTTTAATCATGCTATTTTTTTATACATTAAAAGACACAATTAAAAAATATAAAAATTACAAATATTAAAATTCAAATATAAACTTATCAAATACTAATTCTAAAAATAATTACATTAATCAATTAAGTTACACTTCAAACTGAATCATGCTATTATTTATAAAGATAAGCCAAAACAACTTTGCATTAATAGCTTAGGTATTAAAAAGCAAAGCAAACAGTCCTAACATGTTGGGTGGATAAGGATCAAAAATAGTAAAAAAAAAATTTTAAACCTTAACCTTTTAGAGGGAAAAGAATTCATTCTTTCACTTAATAATATCATAATCTTAGGCATGCGTATATATTAATATCGACTTCAAGAAGATTCTTGCATTTTATGATTAAAAATAATAGAAATCAAGTTTAGATTGAACTTGCATGGTTAGGATGGCTTTTTATATTGTAATTGGGGAAGTTGGCTCTGATAATGCTTTAGTTGGAAAATGTCAATACATGAAATAAATTTGACTTTTGCAAATCCCATATTTCAAAGTGTTTTGTTTCATAGTATAATGGTCTTCTAAATGATGATGGTCATCTGAATATAGAAACGGAAGCAGAGGAATGAAGATGGAACGCGTATAAAATAGAAAAAGCGGCTGTGAGAAAGGATCCACCAAATCACCAAGAGAAAAAAAAAATTTATTTGACTTGGCTGTTAGGCTGAGGTGGCATTTCAGTTACTTAATTGAAACAAATTAAAGTTTAGTAATCAAATTGGAAATTAGTAAAAGTTTAGTGACCAACCGTATAATTTACTCTAGACATTATTAATAATTAATTATTGTTTTTTGAGATATATTTGAAACCAGTAATATAAATATAAAATTATTGACGAATTTATTGTTTTTGTTAACAAAAAAGGTATTTAGAAAAAAAATTTTATTTAAAATTTTTTATTTTTTTAATTTTGAGTGTCCATGAGCTCATACTCTAAAACATGAATTTGCCTTTATATACGAGGAGTTCATGGAAATATATTTAATCTGCCAAGGGAGTAAAGAATGATTGTTAGCTCAAAGTATTACGATATAAAATTGTTAAGCATTCAATTTAAAATCAATTAATAGTAAGTAATGAAATTTAACTTGAATATAAGATTACAAAAAATTAAATATTTATTAGATATAAAAAAATTTACTTTAACAAAAATTATGATAGGATAAAATAATATAATATTATAAATATAATTAGATTAAATAATATTATCCTATTTTGTGTTTAATGTATGTAAATATTATGATAAAATAATTTATTTATTAATTAAAATTATTCTTACCTAAAGTTTATACGATTTAAATTATTAATATAATCTTTACGGATATAATAAGATATATAAATTTAATTTCATAGATTAAAAATAATTCTATCCACTTTTGAGAGAATTGAATCATTCTATATCAAGATTATGATAATTTTTTTTTATAATTCTATTTTTTTTAGATACAAATAAAACATAATATAAGATAATTATTATTCTATGTTATCCATTATTTTATACACCAAACATGATCTACATTACTAGAGTTGCTTTCCATGGAGAGAGCCAGAAAGTGGGAATTAGCCGGGCAGAAGCAGAGAAGAAATTAAGACCTTTCTTGAGTCTTGACCACATTTGCCGTATGTTTAGAATCGAATCTATTTGCTATGACCACATTAGTTGGCCTAGGCCAAGGATTAATTAAACTTTACAAGGGCAAAGAAAAAATAATCAGGAATACATCGGTGGCTATATTCATGACAAGTAATTGAGAAAAACAAGTGTTGCAATACTGTAAGTTTTCTGGAACTTGTTATGCATGAATGTTTATGTCATAGAGCATGGATCAAAATTATCCAGATATTATGTCCTTTCATCCTTATTTTGAAATTAAGGAATCCAATTTCAACTTCAGTTTTGGAAATAAATGCATAGGTTTAGAGGTATGGAATTAAGCCACATCAAGTAAAAGGAATAAAGAAACAAAATTAAGAAAGATCGAGCATGAGCCTATACCCTGGATCTTATTTAATGGAAGACAGTAGATTACCTGGAAATAAATGCTGTTCAAATAGATATATTAAACTTAAATTACATTAAATATTATATATATTCATTCACAATTAATTGAGATAATTGATATTGTAGATTCGATTTATAATTATTTATACTATTAATATTACATATGAATATAAATTCAAAATATAAAATGACACGAAACACGAAATATATTTATTTACAATTAATTGAATTCATAAATGTTATATATTCATGAATAATTAAATTCACGAATAATGGTTATGTATCTTAAAATTAAAAAAATAAAAACATTAATTAACAATAGTCTAAAAATGCATATCACATAAGAAAACATGAATTAATTTATATCACATAAAAAAACATCTGTTCTATAGCCAACGAACAAAAGATCATCATTAAGCGACTTGACTAAGAAAGTATCAGTATAATCAGGTCTAAAATAGGGCTTGGAGACTTGGATTCTTAAATCATTTTCTACCATGCTGAGCTTATAATTATGCGAAATCACAGTAGGTATAAGAGCTACCATAAATGTTACCCTTATGCAAAATAGTATCAGAGAGTCTATGCGTCCAACCAAAATCCCAACTAGTCCACCTCTCATCACCTGGTTTGCAGATGGATATTGTGCTTCGGCTTTCATAATATGAATACCAAGGATGAAGGAGAAGAATAATGCAGTCTGAACTTGAAGACACATTGATAGAAATAACTTCCACTTGTAATGAACTCTGAACTTATAAATTAATCGTCGGGGAATAAATTATTAGTAACTAACTATTGCTTCAATAGCAAATCCACTTTCCTTTGGCTTCAGGTTGGTTAATCTTTCGTATTTCTTTCGTTAAGATGTTAAATAAAATACAAGCATCATCGAATCCTCTCAAGCATAGAGGTAAATATTGAGATATACCTGTAGAGCAGTTGGCTGCCATGATTTACAAACAGCACTACAACGAAGAATGTCGTTGGATCTCTTTTGCAATCAAAGATTAGCTAGAGGAGACCTTGCTGGAGGCCAGACCATTGTGACTGTGATGAAGCCATTGATAATATTTTATGTAATTTATGCGAGTAGATAAAGAAATTACCAAGAAAAAAAAATGATGAAAGAGAATATTTTTTTTGTCCGAACAAGATAAAGAATATTGGGATAATGACAGAATAGGAAATGAAAGAGAATATTGGATTTTCGATTCATATGCCACACTTGCATTTACATATCAGAACCATCACTAAAATTTGATTAACTGTCTAATAGATTTTTAATTACTCTTACTACTTAAACTCTATAATTGGGCCGGATTACTGACTTGAAAACAGTAATCCACACCAAGTTACTTACCTGGTTAGAAAAGTTTCCCTTAAACCAGAGACAAAAATATAAAGTTTATTGTTTAATTTAATTCATTTATAGAATTATTTTTAAAAAATAATATTTAATAAATTTAAAATTTAAATCTCAATATTTGAAAATTTTTTCTGTGTTCCTAAGACATTACATCCTTAATTTGTAAAAAAAAAAAAAAAAATTACTGAAAAAACCTTAACCCTATTTGTTACTCTTTAGTTCATATTGGTAGCTTGGAAAAAAATATCAGGGAAAGAAAATAAAATCTTGGATTCAATTTTTTTTTGGTGCTTCGTAAAAGGAGAAACTGTGGAGGGAATTCAAGATGAGAAAAATATAAGAAAAAAATGTAAAATTAAAACTTTTTTTATGTAAACTCAAAATTTAACTCAATTAATTTAAATAATAATTATTAAAAAAATGACATCAATTAAGTTTAAATTTAAATCTCAATATTTATAATTCTTTCTTTTACCTCAACTTTTTTTTATAAAAAAGAATTCTCCCTATTTCTCTAAAAACACGTGAGGAAACACGAAGAGAAGGAAAGGAAAAAATTTTTCAGGTTACTCTCACCCTCTCAAAACGAGCAATGTACTCCTAGCTCCATCGAGAAGTCATGAGCTTTAACCATGATCAATCCATTAGAAACTTCCTCTATCCTCTTAATGACGAGCGAATTGACATCGTTCTTAGGCAAAATCATCACAAATTATTCCTCACCCTATTCACATGTATGTAATTTTTAAAATTACAAAGTAACTTTCTTTATCATTTAGTTGGTTCATATCGAGTTAAAAACTAAAAAAGTTGATATTAAAAGGGATTAAGATGTGAATTCAAGAGTTGATTCAATTAATTTATATAATCTCTTTTAAAAAATAATATATAATAAATTTAAAATTCAAATATTATTACATATAATTTTTTTCTTTTATCTCTAGATTGTGGCTTTTTTTGTGAAAAAATAAAATAAAATAAAATGTGGACTTAAGCCACACCATGTAAAAAAAAAAAAAAGAAAGAAAAATAAAAGCAGCTAACTCAGGATTTTATTGATGGAAGGAAGCCAAACTCATAGAGAAGTACATCATTAAGAGAAGTAAAGGCTGAGAACAGCTCTGAATATAAAAAGGAAAAATACCAATCACAAATATTTATAAAAATATTAGAACTACTAACTAAGAAGTATCAAACTGACTTAGACATCCAGATTGAACCAAAGGGTTCTCTTATACTCACTCTTGGTAAAGATTTGACAAGGCAAAATCTCGAGAATTCTGGTTTCTAAGTCAAATACACAGTACTTCCTTTCCCAAAACCGAAAATGGTAGATGCAGTTAGCCTTAAACCACGTTTCGGAATTTCTAGCTTTTGCAAGGACGTGGTTGTCGTTGAAGCATAAAAAGAGTGAACAGCCACCCAAATCATTCACTTCCCTGAATTCCTTAATACAAACGTCAAACTCGAAAATTTTGAAAAATGCCCCATCAGGATATAAACTGCCATTAATACTACATCCAACGAGCCAAAGATCATCATTATGTGACTTTATGAAGAAAGGGTGAGTATAATAACTCTGAAATATCTCAGGGATTGAAACCATTGCTTCGATTTCCAGCTGATAATTACATGTAACCAAAGATTTTCTATGGTTGCTTTCACTGATGCTAGCATAAAGTTTATCCTTTTACAGGATTGCATCACTGATTCTCCGGCACCTAATATTCCAATTACTCCATTTTTTTTCGCCTAGTTTACAGGATGATATTGTGCAAGGGATTTCATCTGATTCACTTCTCCGTCGAAGAAAAAAAACAATGGAAGCTGAATTTAAAGGACATTTTGGTAGTAATAATTTCCAAGTGAAGGGAACTCTGAAGTAATCAACGGGGGATAATTTTGCCGATGACGAAATTGGTATTGGAAGATCAATTTGAGATTTTGAGAATATATTTAAAAGTTTCAGCCTATCCGGGAAACGGATAAAATCCACCATGAATAGCCAACTATTGCAAGAGCCGATAATCCAATTTTGCGTAGCTTCAGGTAGATAAATCTTTCGAGTTTCTTTTGTTAGAATGTTAAACACAACCCGAGTTTCAGCCATACCTTTCCCATATTGAATCAAGCATAGAGGAAAGAATTTTCGAAATACCTGTAAAGCAGTTGGTAGCCATGATTTACAAACAGCACCACATCGAACAATGTCAATAGGATCTTTTGCAAAACCGAAGATTGACTCCAGGATATCTTGCGGAAGATCAGGCCAAGAAGACTGTGCAGCCATTGAAATTAATTAAATTATCAGAGTTACCTCCAAGAGTTAATTCCTGATAATAAATAGCGAATAAATTAAGGGACAAGAAAGGCTTGAAAGCCCTAACCCTAAATTAGTAGTCATCTCTTAGTAGGATTCTGTGCGCGTGTAAATTATTAAAAAAATAAAATAAAATAAAAGGAATTGTAGGGTTCGGAAGATGATTAAATTTAATTTAAAAGTAATCTTTTAAAATTCTATTTAAAACATACGACCTTGTGATTTTTAAAAGGCCTTAATGAATACCATATATTCTATGTAACACCAAATTATATTTTTTGTGAAAGAAAAATCACAAATTTGAAATAGAAAAATCACATTTAATGATAATTGCATAAATTAATTGAATTAAATCTTGAGTTTTCAAAATTATTCTCATTATTGAAATAGTTAAATCCACCAATCCTTTTAGTAAGCATGCTAATTTGTGGCAATTATTGATATTGAAATAGTCAAGGTCACATCAATTTTCCCAAATCTCTTGGTAGCTTTTTAAAATTGCTAGATGATTAGAGTGATAAAGTTGGCAAAAATGGTTATAAAACTTGGAAATTTTGCCATTTCAATACCAGAGAGATCAAGGTGTCTCAAGCCTTTAACTTCCAAATTGAAGCTAAAAGAGGCTGCACCATAGATTACTTCATTCTCAAAAAAAAAAAAAAAATCAATGGAGTAAAAGCAATAGTCCTTATCTCCTTTGATTCAGACAAGTACATTAAAAGCTTTTGAAAGGTTATTCTAGGAACACATGATTGACTCCTATGGGAATTTTTTTTTGCTTGTCATCTTTCACCGTGTGTAAACTACTTCCTGCAGCTAATTGTGCAAAATCATTGATAAGGTCATCCATTTTGCAACGAATTTTCCCATCCTCTTCTTTTCCTTCCTCTTGAAAGAATGACCTGATATTAAATGATTAAAACACTTCTCAATAGTTAAGTAATTGGATAACACATATAAGTATAAGTAATAAAGTTCTTTAATGTTTCTTTTCATTATTTTGAATTAATAACAAACATATAATATTGCTATATTTTTTATTAAGTAAGATAATAATTAACAAACTAAGTAATTTTCATGGCCAAAAATGTAAAAGAAACAAAATATAATATTATTTTTTGTCATAAAAATAACAAATTAAGTGATGTGATAACAAAAATGTTGCAAAAATAAGCGTACAACATTGTAATATTTTTAGATAACAAAAATTGTGTAGTGAGGCCAATAGACGTGTGGTTGTAGGTAAATTACTGGATTTTTAATTTTAATTATCTAAGATTAAAATTTTGGTGATTAAGCTCATGGGAAGTGTACGCTGCCAAAGCTCACTCCAAAAAGGTCCTCCTTGGAGTCCATGTTCAGTGTTAGTCAACATTAAAGTAATTAATTTATTATGTTCACTTGATATACCTTATAACTAGATCTGTTCAAGCTATGGATTGCTTAGAGTTGGACTTTGGACAAAAAATTTAATATATGAACTTTAGACAAAAGATTTGAAAATTGACATAGTAAATTTTTTAAGAAGTTTGTTTTTAAGATCAATGCCATGAGGTACGAATCAAACTTAACCTAATGTTATATCCTTTCATTTTATTTGAAAAGAATCCAATTTCAACTACAATTTATTTGGAAGTAAAACACGACTTAAGAGGTAAAATTGAGCCACACTAAAGAAAATAAAAAAGGAGTGATTCCTGGGTTTTATTTAATAGAAGTGAGCCAAACCCATAGAACTAGATAAAGTAAATCCCTTAAGAGAAGTAAAAGATCGAAAATACTAATGACTTGTTAGTTTAATGATATTAAAGTCAGCTCTAAAATTGAAGTTTCTGAGTTCAAATATAATTGGATTCCAAAAGATAAAAAACCTGAGAACAGATACTTTAACATTCCAATCACAAACTTAATTTTTAAAACAAAATAAGAATCAGTAATTAAAAAAGTAACCAATTCCTGCTTTATACATCCGGTTTGATCCAAATGCATCTCGTATATTTCTCATTCTGGGTAAAGAATGGACAGGGCACAACTACTGAATTTCTGTTTTCTAAATCAAATATACGATAATCCCATATCCATTGGCTGAATAAGTAGGTGCAGCTAGCCTTAAACCATGTTTTGGGATTTCCAGCCTTTTCAAGGAGATGGATTTCATTGGAGCTTAGAAAGAGTGCACAGCCACCCAAATCATTCACTTGTCTGAATTCTTTAGTACAAACATCCTGCAACTGTTATGCAAAAGTGCAAAACAATACAAAATTTCAAAATATTCCTAGCCAATAAATTAATAACTAATATCATCATTGGCTGCAAAAGACCAAGAACATACTCATTTTTGTTCTTTTGACAGGTATCAGATTGTCGAATATACTCATGGACTTGTTTCTTCATCTCAGGCTAATAAAAATTTAATTTAAGTCTGTGGCTTAAATTCTTAAATGCCCCTTCAAGTGAATTATGGAAGGCTTACAAAATTTTCTCTTTTAACTGCCCACTATTGCCTATATACATTTTTCATTTAAATCTCAAAACTCCTTTGCTGAATGAATAGTGAGAATTATTAAGAGGATAGATGATAAAAGCCTTAATTAGCTCCTAGGCTATTGTATTACCATTATATCTATACTCGATCTCCTTCACTCACACTTGTATAAATGTAGTTGATTGAAAGTTATAGCTTTATGCTTCCTCCTCATGTTGTTTGGATGTGGCATCTACTACTATATTCGTCTTGCCCTTTCTATATTGTATAAAGTAATCTAAATTTTTGCTTTACTAGCTAAATATATAGCAACTATTTTTATTTTCTAATGGTTTGACATTTCAAAAATGATGAAATACTTCTGATTATTGAAAAGAGCAAAAGCTACATAAGCAAGACTATAGCAGAGAGTATGGCAAAGAATGAGCAAGAATCAATGAGAGATGAGCTGAAAGCTAACAATAGAATGGATGAATACGATAAGGAAGATCGTGATGTCAGTAATTAATCTATTGGCTAAGAATACTCTGAAATTTTGTACTTTTTACACTTTTGCATGATTGTTGCAAGATAGTTGTTTTTAAATAATTCATTAACTATAATTGACTTTCATGAATGAAAAAGATATTTTCTCAGCCATCCTTTAGATTCTCACCTTCAAATAATATAAGTTCGATTTTAAGATTCTCACCTTCAAATAATAAAGTTCAATTTTTGGGCATTGGCTAAAAGCATTAAGCTTAGGGTAGTTAGTTCTAGGTGAAGCTTTAATATGTTTGCCTATAGTCATGCTATTATGTATATTACTAAAGTAATAACCTGAGATCATTTGACTTATAGCTAAACTTACTATTCATCAATAACAGTTATCTCAATAGGATTCTTACCCTCCTTCTTATCTCAGGATTCTTACCCTCATTCTGCTTTACACTAATGGAGCCAAATAAGAACTGCCAACATGTTGCTTTCCTCTTGAATTTGCCTAGGTTGGAGATTTTTCTTTTTACAGTAAGGATTCCAATAGGTCAAAGCTATTGTGATTCTCAACCATCTTGATTTCCAACTCCTTCTTTTGATCTTTTCACAGCTTTGACATAGAGGTCTTTGTGGCCTTTATGTCCTTCAACCGTCGAGATATTCTAGACCTGTTCATGTAAGGTATTTAACAAGTCCCATTAGACTTTAACCATAAACATGGAAAGTGGTTGTTGATATTGGATTGCAACAAGCTCTGATACCAATTTGTTATGACTTAGTTGTGACTTGGTTAAGGCTTTAGAGAATAAAGAGACTAAAAAGAGAACAAAGGATAATTGAGAGGAGAAATATATTTTCCATGAAAGTCAGTTATAGCCAATCAATTATTTAAATCAAACTATCGTGTAAGCGTAAGTGCAAAAAATACAAAATTTCACAATATTACTAACCAATAGATTAATAATTGACATCATCATTAGTATTCTTAACCAATAAATTAATAATTGACATCATCATCTTTCTTCTCATATTCATTCATTCTATTGTTAGCTTGTAACTCATCTCTCAGTGATTGTTGCTTATTTTTTGCCATAGTCTCTGCCATAATCTTGCTCATGTAGCTCTTATTTTTTTTTAAATGACTTAATTTTATTTTTTAAATTTATTGAAATTAATTGTTAGAAAAAAATGTAAAAAAATGTGAAAAAGTGTAAATTCTTTTTGTATAATTTAATCCTTCCCTATAAATTAATAATTCTTAAATTTTTTGTAGAATTATTATTTTTAAAAAATATAATTTTTTAACACATATTAAAGTTATTTACTCAAAACATGATCAAGTAAATAATATACAAAAAAATTTTTTTTAATGAATTATGGTATACCATATAAAATGCTAGACATCTATATATAGAAATACGACACCCCTTTCATATCGTGTCATATTAGTACTTTATTACTAATATAACATGAAAAAGCTACTAAGAACTCTTGGGGCACAAAGCGCGGGTGCATGGTTGTGTTTAGGGGGCTTTAACGAAATATTATGAAGTGGCGAAAAAGAAGGAGGTGGGATAAGACCAGAATAGCAAATGGAGGATTTCAAAGCTGTGCTTGAGGAGACTAGCCTTCATGACCTAGGTTACCAGGGACCCAGTATGACATGGCAAAGGGAGAAGACAAAACTCAACCGTATTTGTGAACGATTAGATAGAGCAGTTGCAACAAACGGATGGTGTGAGTTATTTCCCTATTACCTTGTGAAACATTTAACTAGTTTAGTGCCAGATCACATTCCCATTATGGTGGACACGAGAGGGATAATACCAAAAAGGCAATATTCGCAAAAAAGAACAAGAAGATATTTTGACGCCATATGATTGTCTGAACCCGAATGTACAAAAATCGTGGAAGAAAGTTGGGCAACAGTGGGAGACTAGAACATACGTTGCAAGGTTGAACACGTGCTGGACAAGCTTAAAATGTGGAGAAAAGAGAAGAGCCACAAGCTCGGCGCAAAAATTGATAAACTTTATAATGAACTGAGCTGGGTGCAAAAGCAAGAAAGAAATGAAGTGGAGATGATGGAGGAAATAAAGCTAAAGGAGGAACTAAATGGGCTTTCAGAGCAAGAGGAAGTTTACTGGAAGCAACATGCACGAAAATTTGGCTTAAGGATGGTGATAAAAACACAAGATTCTTCCATAGCCAACGGAAAGAAGAAGGAAAAACATAATATATGGGGTGGAAGATGAGGCTAGAATATGGCACGAAGACGACATGCAGTGGCATATTTCGAAGAATTGTTCAAAACTCAACGAGTATCTAATTTGGATAGAATTCTAGAGACAATATCACCATGCATTTCAGGTGGGATGAATGAATGGCTTGTCTCAGAATTTACAACGGACCAAATTCACAGAGTTGTGAAGCAGTTGCACCTTACAAAAGCTCCTGATCACGACGGTATGCTGACTTTATTTTTTCATAAATTTTGGAATACTGTAGGACCGGATATCACTGAGTTTTTTCTTCAAGCTCTGAAAGAAGGGGGAGGACTATTTATCCAGAGAGGGGGCTGAGACAAGGGGATCCTCTATCTCCTTATTTATTTCTGGTGTGTACTAAAGGTTTGTCGGCACTATTGACTAAAATGCAAATGGATGGCTTGCTAAAAAGAGCAAGGGCAAGTGTACGGAGCCCAAGAATCAGTCACTTATTTTTTGCTTATGATAATCTACTTTCTTTTAAAGCAAACCAACAGGAGAACAGAAAAGTGAGAGACTTGCTAAAGTGGTATGAGGAAGGTTCTGGGCAGTAAATAAATTACAGTAAGTCCGAATTATTTTTCAGTACAAATACTAGACTTGAGGTAAAAACCAAATTCGGGATACAAATAACGACGAGTCCGGAAAAGTACTTAGGACTCCCAATGTTTATTGGAAGAAAGAAGAAACAAGCTTTCCGTGGGATATTGAAAAATATGGAAAGGAAAATAAAGAAATGGAATCACTAATGGTAGTCTCTAGGTGGGAAGGAGGTGTTCGTAAAATCCATACTACAGGCGATTTCTTCTTATGCCATGTCTTGTTTTTTGTTCCCGAAAGGCCTATGTCACAACATCAACATGATAGTCAGTAGATTCTGGTGGAGGAAGTCAATGAAGAAAGGAGCAATATGTGCACCGCAAAGAAGACTGGAGGAATGGGCTTCAAGGATATGTAGTGCTTTAACTGCTAGCAAAACAAGGACGGAGGCTCTTACAAAATCGGTCATCGCTTATGTAAAAGTTACCAAGGCCAAGTATTCCCAACTACCTCCTTTCTTGAAGCTGAGTTGGGGAATGCACCTTCATTCACATGGAGGAGTATTTAGATGGGAAAGGATGTGCTACAGTTAGGTACAAGGTGGAGAGTGGGTAACGGACAAAGTATCAAGGTGTGGATAGATAATTGGATTCCAAGGGAAAGCAGTTTCAAACCAAAGCCAAGGGAAGGCTATAATCGAACTATCGAATATGTTGCTGACCTACTAAAGAACCCACTAAACAGCCGGGATAAGGATAGGTTGAGGGAGAGGTTTTCTGCAGAAACAGTTATGGATATTTTAGGAATTCCAGTGAGCCACAGTAGATTCCCAGACATCCAAGTATGGCATTTGGCAAAAAAAGGACAACATAGAGTTCGAAGCGGTTATCATTTGCTGGCTTCATTGGAAGGAATGGGGGAGGAAACAACAGGGAACAATAATAGTCCCAACTGGAACAGATTATGGCAGCTATCCCTGCCAAGCAAGATCAAATTTTTGCATGGAAACAGAGTTAGGTATGAGAAAAAAATGTAAAAGAGTTGTAGGGTTTTGTGGGATAGACACCCCATAAGAGTATTGGGGCTCTACGTCTTATGGGTGTGTATGTTTGTTTGTGAGTGGACTAGAGGAGACTGTATGTTTGTTTGTGAGTGGACTAGAGGAGACTGAGAGGGTCCACATAGGTATGATGTATGGGAGTATATGGGTATGTGTTTGGATATGTTGAAAGAGTGTACAAAGATTTGGGTTTGTGTTTGTTTGGGTCGAGAATACTCTATAGGACTAGAGGAGATTGAGAGTGTCTTATGAGTATTGATTGTTGAGTGATGTTAATGATTTGATGTATGTTTGTAATTCTCTACCACTAGTGGATCTTGTTTCTCATCCGTGGATGTAGGTCAGTTGGACCGAACCACGTTAAATTGTTGTCTCTTGTGTGTTTGATTTATTGTTTGATTTCGCTTCCGCTGGTGTGATTGGATTAGAGGCTTTTAGCCCAACAAATAGGACACAAGGCACTACCCACATACGAAAGATTGTAACACAGGAAAATAATGAAAAATGCAGTATGTCCATGGTGCCAGGAGAATGAAGAATCTATCACACATGCAATAAAAGACTGCTGCACATCGAAGGAGATATGGGCACAAGCCGGATATGGAGCAAAAGGGTTGGAATCTCAAGAGCAAAATCTGATCGATTGGTTTACAACTATGGTAAACAACACAGTACCGGAAAAGCTAAGGCGTATTCTGGTAATGTGTTGGGCAATATGGTTCAACCGAAACGACGGGTGTTAAAAATGGGAAGAGTAGGAAAAGCCAAGAAACCGTATTTTTTTTTGACAGATACCTGCATGAAATTGCATCTGTGCATGCAAAAAGTTCAGACAGAGCCATAAGAATTGAAGCCAAATAGAGTGCACCAGGGGAAAACCAGGTAAAAATAAATTTCGATGGAGCATTAAATCTGGACAGAAGAGTTGGAGGTGTGGGACTGATTACTAAAAACTACCAGGGGAGGGTATTGGGTGCGGCATCCGCACTTATAACAGGAATAAAGGAAGCAGCCAAAATTGAGGGGATAGCCGCATCAAAAGCAGCTGAATTTGCTTCTGAGAAGGGATGAAATGAAATTATTTTAGAGGGGGACGCTAAAGGAATCATAGCTCAGATTGCAAAACCAGCAGAAAACAACTTATCTTTGATTGGGAATCAGATAATGGAGATCCAAGACAGATTGTCCACATTTCAGCAATGGAAAGCTTTGTATGTCCAGAGAGAGCCGAACAAGGCAGCGCACAAGCTTGCTAGAATGGCAGTGGAAAACATGGAATCCAGACATTGGTTTAATGTATGTCCAGAAGAACTACCGTGCATTGTAACCCGTGATATAATTCAGTGATTTAATGGAAATGATGCTATTTTTCCCCCCCAAAAAAAAAGTGAACTCAGGATTTTATTACTGGGCAAAAAGAAAAAAGGATTTTATTAAATGGAATTGAGCTAAGCCCGTAGAACTAGATAAAATATATCATCCTTAAGAGAATTAAGGACTGAGAACAGCTCTTTAACATTTCCAATTACAAGTTAAAAGAAAAAAAAAATAAAAAAAATTAAGAACTAGTGATTAATTAAGATGCTTTAGACATCCAGTTTGACGAAAAAGCTTTTATTATAATGCTTAATCTTGGTAAAGCATTGACAAGGCATAATCTCCAAATTTCTGGTTTCTAAATCGTATACAAAGTAATTCCTTTCCCCATACATGAAATAGTAGATGCAGTTAGCCTTAAACCAAGTTTCGAAATTTCCAGCCTTTGCAAGAAAATGGTTGGGGCATAAAAAGAGTGGACAGCCATGCACCCAAATCATTCACTTCGCTGAATTTCTTAGTACAAACATCAAACTCGAAAATTTTGTAGAATTTTCCATCAGGATCACTGGCTCCAATATGGCCAACGAGCAAACGATCATCATTAATTGAATTCACCAGGTAATGGCCAGTATATATCTCCGGATGGTCTTAGAGATTGAAACCATTGCTTCGATCTCCAGCTGATAATTACATATAATCATATGGTCCCTTTGGATACGATATCTTATGGTAGCATAAAGTTTACCTTCATATCATAGATTTCCCGGCAACTAATACTACTGTCACTCCAATTCTTTCTCCTGGTTTCCGAGATGACATTGTGCAGGGCCCTGCATCTGAATTTCGTTGTCGAAGAAAAAGAATGCAATCTGAATTTAAAGGACACTTTGATAATAATAATTTCCAATGGAAATGAAAATTTTTGAGGTAATAACTCTTGGGATCAGAAGATAATGTTCTTGACGAAGACATAAAGGGTGGAAGATCGATTTGAGTTTTTGAGAATATACTCAAAAGTTTCATCCTTAAGAGTTGGTATTTTGGTGGTGATTGAATAGAAGGAAAGGAAGGGAACGTGTTGAGGTGAGAGGTTTTTATGGAGGGAAGAAGCGAACGCAAAATCACGGTTTTGGTCATACGAGAATGAAAAACAGATGTAAGGGAGATCTAATGCTTTTTGCTTTTTGGACTTTCGAAAAAATAAATATAGGAGGGAAAGAAGAGATTGTGAAATAAGGATGTTAATCAAATCGAACCAACCCAACTTGATACATACGTTGTGGTGTTGCAGCTCGATTCGATTAGAGAATTTGAGGTCGGAAGTTTGAGTTGAACTCAGATTGAGTTTTATTTTTCATGATCGCTAGTAATACATTTGATTGGAAACCTAACTTTATTTGCTAACTTCATGTGCAAGTGATCACTTGACAAAAAAGATTATATATCAATTCTAAGCAGCTGAGTCGCTTGACTCATTCACCAATGAGAGCTGGATAGATTAAAACATGAAACAGCTGCTTACCAGGTTAGTTTCTTAAAATTTCTAACTTGTATTTTTAATTGTTTATACCAGTAATCGAATGAATCAGTGTTCTTTACAAAAATATATATATTTTAAATGTTTTGCTGTTTTACGATGAAAATTTGTAAAACAGACTTCTGACTGTACAAATAAATTACCAGGATGCTTATAATGTCATGTCTGCTTTTTCTTTCCTGCAAGAATTGGTTGGATTTGCAAATGCCTATTGAAAGCCCGGTTGAAAAGAAATCGAGTTTGGAATGCTGATATGATTGGGAGCCATGCCAAAATAGCAACTGGTGCAAAAAGAACCGATCCCATTCCATAATCATATGCTTGAGCCAGGACCTCGGTGAGGTGCCAGAATCCGGTATTTTCAATAAGGGGCCTCACAGCTTGAGCAACCTGAAAAAACCGAAATATCAGAGGGAATAGGGGAAAAGAAGGGAGTAGAGACAGATGGAGGAGAACAAACTCAAATAAACATACCAGTATCAAACCCCATCCAGTTGGCAGAAATGCAAGACAGCAGACAATTACGTCCTTCAAAGACAGTTCACAGATGACTGAGAGAGTGATTACAATGGCAAAAACACTTAGGAAGAGGAATGCCTTAAAGAACCTAAACATCAGATGGTAATTAGCACTGAAAAGTTGCCTTCCAATGTTCACTGCCTGTATATCATGTGGAGATCATGTTATTATTCGGATGGTAATCATTCACTGTTTTATATTGGTTTAAACAGAAAAATTAACTGAGTACTTTTGTGCAGAAAATTCATGGTTAATCAGATTTTGCAAAATAAAGCTCGATATCAAGTGAGAATGCTAAAGTGACAATTGAAAAGTGCCATGTAGTTCAAAGCTGCATAATGTGTGGTGTAGTTGAAGTGCAAAAAAATACTTTCAAATAAAGAAATGACTAATGAATTTACCTTAACTGTCAGGAAAACTGCAAGAATAACAACCCAGGACAGCACATAAACCAGAAAATTTTTGCTCTGTTGGGAGATGTCAAGATGATAGACCAGACCATATTGATACAGGAAAAACCGAATAGACAGAAGAATTTCAAGCAATCTAGCACCATACCCTGAACGACGAAGATGAGCTTGTTCATCATTCCACCAAGACTGCCAACTCTTATCTTGCTGAATTCCAATACCCCCTTGCTCCTTGATCCACTTATTCCAGCCTTTCCAATCATCTACTATCTTGTCCCAATCGAATCCAGAAGGATTAAATAAAAACGGTGCAAACAACCAAGTTATGGTCATGAACCAAACAGAGTAAGTGATTAAAACATAGGCCATGTTGCTCTGGTAGGACCTCCTGAACAAATCATAAACAACTAGCAGGAGCAATAGCTCAAATCCTTTAACAAAGTGGCTTCTTGAATACAATCTGTAGTTCTCAGTGAAGCTGGCATGAAACACCACAACCTTACGTCCAGTAGGTATATATTTTGCTCCCCCATGCATAATTGTTCGACCATAATAATGGGTTTTTGTTCCAAGGGAAAATGTGAAGAAAACAGCAGCAAGCTGCAGTTGCATAAGAACAAAATCTTTAAGGGCTGTAAGAAATCCCTTCTCAAGTCCAATCTCCATCACCATCGGTAAGCCGGTTAAAAGCCCAAGCTGGATAAATGATTGGGAAGCAAGAGCAGTTTCCAATGATTCTATGTTTTGCATTCTAGCCTCGACGAGGAGTGTCTTTTGCAGTCCACTAAGAACAAGGTATAGTTGTCCGTAGAGGAACACATAAATTCCAAGTACTGAAATCTGGGTTTTTACAGCAGAAGTAGAGCATAAGATGAGAAGGGCAGAAATAAAAAAACCATCACATAGTTGGAGATAAACTGTAATAAGTACAAGGCAAACAGTTTGACTTATGAACACAACACTAAACAGAATACATTCTCTTTTACTTCAATAGAACCAAAAGCTTAAGAGTCACAGAGATTATTTCCCACCATTTTCAGAGACCTCCAGGGGACAAGCCTTCCCCAGCCATATCCATATCAGATTATGGCACTCATCCAGTTTTTTTTTTTTCCTTAAATAAATGTCCAACAATTTAAATACATATACGGTTTTGTGGTTTATGTTTTTTAAATCAGAAAAAAAAAAAAAAAAGATTTCGTGGTGCATGTAGTAATTATTGATTAGATACTTTTAGAAACATATTAAACACCTATTGGACATAAAAATAATCCTAAGTATATATCAAGAATGTGTTTTTAATTAAAAGTACATTTATTATGAATTACAATTTAGCTTATTTATTAGAATTATTTGAGAAATTAATCTATTATAAGATTTCAATTAGAATAGTGTACGGTTTGTCATTCAAATTTGCATCCATTTATCATTTGCATGTCATTTATCTTACCTTTTTCAAGAATTGTCATATTCATCATGCATGCATCATATTATGTTGATATACAGAATATGTGTTTATGCTTCATGCTTTACCAAAAAAACAAAAGAAAAAAACCCTCCAGAACATCAAGTGACTACATTTCAGACAAATGACATCACTATCTTATCTTCTAGAAGTAATCCCTACGTCATAGCAAATTTGTAATACCAAGAGATCGGTATTTGTCATGCATGAGAAGCTTCTCAAGAAAGCTCAACTGGTAAGATAATGAACATCGTACATTATGCCTTCGACTGCCAGATCTAGAGATAACTGGCTGACGGAAAGGACAAATTAGTAGTAAAACTAATACACATCTTGTTGATTTCTTTTCGGTTCTCACCTATATAATTCTTACTTCCATGTTTCTATTGTATTTTACATAAATACATTTTAGGAGTCAGCAATATGATGCTTTCATGGTTTTGATTCAGCAGAAACTATATTTAAAAGATTTTCACTATCAAGAAGATATTAATTTTATCTAGTTTGAATTAGAGGTGGCAAAATAAACCCAAACCCGAAAACCCACCCAGAAAACCTGAATCTGAACCTGTCCAAACTTGATTTGACAAAAAAAATCAAAAACCAAACCCAAGAAAACCCAAACCAAAATGACCCAAACGTGAAAAACCCGAACCCAAACTTGACCTGAACTCAAAGCATGTTAAAGTCTGTTGCATCTTTCATGAAATCTAAAAAACGACCTGACAAGCCCAAGCCCAAACCCACCCTAAACCCAAAATGACCTAATCTGAACCTGGCTTGACACCCGATTGCCACCTCTAGTTTGAATACCAAAAATACTTCATTCGGTATGAAAGAATTACCAGGCTACTGAAGTAAAACCCAATGGTTGTGAAGTAACAAGATAGCATCCGAAAAAAATCAAATTGACGTCCAAGTCGGTGTATGTCACGACTTAAAGTTTGTTCACTATTGCCATTAGCCACTTTGGCTTCAAATTTCGAGATTTGATTTAGGCCTACGTCACGACCTTTGCCAACTTGCAGGTACTCATGATAAGTGATGCATCCCCGTCGCAAGATTGAGTTAAATCCTATACATGGTATCAAATATATTTTTAAATGTAAAGCAACTAGGACAAAGGTTAGTATATAATATTTGAAGTAGCAGATTCCTACCAGCAAAAACATCCTCACTCAAGTTGATTGTTTTTGATGCTTTGCTTATGCCTCCTCTGGTTATGTGAAACAACCTATCGAATATATCTGGATGCCCATAGTGAAAGCGTACCCTGTATATAAGGTAAAACTTATGGAAAATGAATGACTAAAGCAATGGTCATATTGGTAGATATCGATAAATTAAAGAATAGAACAATCTGAGCCTTAGCATAACTCAAATTAATGAAGAAACACCAAAACATGGCATCAGAAAGATGCCTGATAGCTTAGATAGTAAAGTTCTTTGATTTAGAATTGACTCCTACTTTCAGCAAGGGTGGATGGATGTTAAGGGTAGGGAGAGGGCTGTCTGCCATCCATGTATTTTATGAAAGACAAATACCCTGGCATCATAAATATAGATACCATAAAACCAATATAAGATTCCCCAAAAAAAGGTAAATCTGTCGATCCTAATTTATGGAATACTGGCATGTTAGATAACAACTGATGCAAGACCAATATACATGCAGTACATTACAAGTACCATAATTTACTGAGATTGTGGTATTGGCTAACAGAAATTTACCTGAGAGGATTGGCAAGAAGCCTTTGACCGATGGTGACAAAGCTGGTCTCCTGATATGACATAAACCATGCTAAAGAAGAAACACTGCAGTTTGAAAGAAAATTTTATTTTTCAGTGTAAAGAAAAACATATGCTTTCAGTTTCACATACACAAATGATGGATTCCTAGACAAAAAATGAAACATAACAAATAAGTATTCATGAGAATTCCATCATAAATGTATAGGTATGGCCTTGTGGGCATTTCTTTCCACTGCAGATACCAGAAAATCTATAAAGGAAATATAGATTGCAAAATTAGGTGTCGTTCGTAACAACACATTTGGTTATTAAAAGTTTACATGAAATTAATTCTAAGATTCAATGCTAACTATGCCACAGCAATGATCCTTTCTTTTAAGATGCTCTTCCTTTTAGGGAGGCAGAGGAAAAACGATATCTAAGATATATTATGCAAGGTTTGCCAACTTCATAAATTAAAATTTTCAGACCTAAAAGTATTCTTTATAATTTTGATGCAGCACCCAAGTATTAAGGCAACACCAGATTGCAGCCAAAGAGGAATATGTCATGAACAGAAAATCTCCCTTGGAATTTACATTAGTCAGTCTTTGAAATTAGAATCTATATAAGTTTTGTGGGGCTTTTGGGATTAGTCTTAGATCATAAAATGAATATTTGTATTTTTCTCATATCAGAATAATCAGATTGAACAAAGCTCTCAGTCTCTTTTGTCTTCTTGTTGAAGACTGATCTTGTTCTGATCTTTCTATTTTTTTTCTCCATACACAGTGGATTGTCATATGGTTTTTAGTTATTATAGAGAAAATATTAAAATTTATCATTTGTCATTAAATCTTGAACCAAATACAACATGCAAAATTTTGAGGGCACAGGAACCATTTTACGAGATGAAGTTGTAATTCGATGTTGTCTAGAAGAGTTGTAAAACATAAAGCCACTTATACTAGAAACAATAGCTAATATCTATAGTCTATATTAAGTCAAATTTAATTTTTCTTTTTTTGATGCCATGTGTTTGTAAAGTTGGTTTCTTAGAGTTACACTTGTCCTCATTTGTTCATGAGCTCTCTGACATTGCTAGGTTGTTTCTCATTCTTGCAGGGCTTTTAAGAAATTTTCAAGCATTAGCTAATATTTAATGACATAGGTCCACTGACTGATTCTTAATAAATAATGCTTTCCTTAAGGTTAGACTTTTTTATTTTTGCTTTTATAGGTTAGTTTCCCAGCTGAAAGATCTTAACTGATGCAGACATGAGATGAGCACCATTTATGGGTTCAAAGTATTAAACCTTCCAGTGAATATGTGCTCCCTTAGGCCAAGTATTGTGGGAGGGCGCCGACCATGGTTTTGAAGAAATTCTTGCAGAAGATTTCTCACTTTGAGAGCTTCTTCAAAATAATTGTCCTGAAAAATTGAATCCACATGAGACTAAAAATGCATGCAAGGCATTAAATTTTCAGCTACTGGAGCAAGACCTACTTGGTTCATATCAATTGTCTGGAGAGCTTCTCCACGTGTGAAGATTATGGCATGATTTTGATTTTCAGGTTTCCCTTCACCAATGATTGGTGGACCAGGAAGTTTTATGCGATATATTACCTGTAAATGAATACTAATCAGATAAGCCTTAAGGCTGCATCTTACTATAGGGATCAGAAAGGTGGCATGTTAATAGGAATTGTGACATTCCAGATATCCATATGATCATTTAATTTAAGAATACATATAACATATGAACATGTATGCCTTCAATGTAATACTGTGAATGTTACTGAATCTGATCTTGCTAGTAAATAAACTGTTGTGGCATTTTACATTTTTACATTTTCATAACTTCTAAGCTTTAATCTCAAAAGGACAACTTTTTCCTGATTTTTCTGTTGTATTATATACTACTCCTTTGTTGGCATGCCTTGTATGTGAGACATGTCTAGACTAGGAACGTAATAACTCCAAACATTAAAAAAAAAAAGAAAATCAAATTTATAAGACTTGAGATAAAGAAAAAGGAGTCTGAACGTGCATTACTCTTTCTAGCATCGGTCATAGGATTACAATCAAAATTGATTGATATTAAAAAGTACATTACATTTATGTCATTGTACAACGTCATATCAAATAACACAAACTGGAAACAAAAACCTGAGATATTTGTTATCCATTTGTACAATTATATTCTCAACCTTCTATGGTTTCTGACAGTAAAATTGCTTTGAAAGCATTGTGAACATAATTTTCAATGGAAGTAAATTTGCAAAGCATGTTAATAAAATACTCTGACCAAAAGGTACTATCATTTTTAGTAAAGTGCAAAGCTATTTATAAAATACTTTACAGCTTTTGCTCATGTTATGATTTTTTATTGAGTTCCACATGCAATCAGTATGCTATATTTCTCTCATAGAAAGATAATTTTGGTCTTTGGTTCCAAGAAAAGTTGAAGATGATCTTCAAGTTAGGCCCCTCAAAATAACGAAACAGAAATTTCTTAAACCATCTACTTTATAATGTTTAAGAAACTTGAGTAATACCTGATCAAAGTTGCCAACAGCTTTTGCCAATATAGAAGAATAAGCCTTTTGATGCTTATCTCCTACTATTTCTTCTTTCTCTTCAATATATGCAACGCGTAGAGCTGGATACCTACAAATCAGCAATTGTATTTCGTTATTTAGATTTCCAATATACTTCTTATGCTTCAATATCTATACAGTTTTAGTTTATTTTGTTAAGTCACCTTCTCATCAAATCCTTAATGTCTTCCGCACGACGGTCTCCAGAAGAATTTTGTGATCCAAACATTTGACAAGAGATAACATACGTGAATTTCATGTCTGCTAAGGCATCTAATTCAGCAGTTAACTTGGGATTATTTCTTTCAATAGCATCCTCATGAATATCTGGATTAACACAATTAGCCATGTGGAAGAAAAAGAGGGCAGAGAAAGCTAATTAGTTTAACCATTCTCATTAAAGTATAATCTTATGCCGTCAGAAATCCTAGGGGATACAGAAAAATAATGCATTAGACATTGAACCACAAGAAGAGGTGCTAAAAGCAGTGGACAAGGTTGAGGATCAGTGACCTTTATTCTCAGGTTTTTCAAGGAGTGCTTGTAATTTTAAGGCTTCTCTATAGTACATCATTCCTCTAACTGTCACATTCAAAGGTACAGAAAGAAATTAATGATCATTTTTACAAAGCATTTCACTTGCAAGTCAGTTAATATATATTACTAAGAAATTTCAAGCACCTGTTCTGCTTAGTGTTTGGCCCCGGAAAGAAGCCCAATTTCTAATTTCTTCCTCCTTGCCATCTTCTATTAGTTCATTCAAGCTTTGATATCCCATTCGCTCCAAAAAGTTCTTCCACTCATCTAAGAAAATGAAGGTTATGCACTTGGAGCTGTATCAAAATGGATTTACAATAAGAATTACCAAAAAAGATAATATTTTTACTACCTGGAAATATCATTTGCATATAGAAGATGATAGAAACTTGTCCTTTGCTTGATTGTAGCTCCTTCATTGAAAAATTGATGTCCTCCATGTAATGCGGGGTTATAACACTGTACTAAGCAGAATATGTTGGCTCAGATATGATTTACGCACAGTTACCATATGCCTCTTAAGGAATTAGTACTTACATGAAGCAAGGTTGTATACCATACATTATGGTGATTATTACAATAAATTACCATCAAAATACTAATGCAAGTAACTAATATCAGAAAGAATGCTATTATCAACCAAAATTCATGTAGAAAGATTGCTAACATGGTAACAGAGTAACACAAGATAAGTACAGTTAATGTGAAAAGCTTAATGATGAGGATATATGGAACTGCTTACATCTATGTGGTGGACTTGAAACTGTTAATGATTGGAGAGAGATTAATTTTAAACTATCTTTCTCTAACTTCAATTTTCCAAAGGAACTAATGTCGAACACATATTGGAAGCTTCAAAATTTACACGCATAATTTGATATGACGCTCTAATTCGAAGGAAAAGCTCATGAAGAATTGAAAACTTGTCTCAAATGCAGAGATCCAATACTTGAATATGAGTCTTAGCAACATAAGAAATTGAATAAAGTAATCCAAGTAAACTCTATCTAAATAGACAATCCATCAACATCCTGTTTCCGGTTTTGAGTTTATGTAATTTACTTAGATTAATTTTGCATGATAAGTATCATGGCTCCCCTTGCCCTAGTCCTAAAAATTAAAAGAGTATTATCAATCAGAGTCAAGTAGATAATTCAGTGAAAACAAATATACAAACTAAGTCTCTTAACCGATAGAAAATAGTGAAAGGAGAAACAATTCAACCTGAAAGACAACATACTGCGTACTTCAGGAGCACTAGGCATACCCATAAAGAGTGAAGTAGCAAAGAATGAAATACGCCTTCGAGCTTCTAAATTTGCAGGTATGTCCATTGCCTTATCTTTGACAGTAAGTAATAAATGCAAACGCTTAATCTGCCATACAAAGATTCAAACATATTTTTCATGATCATATACGTTGAGTATGTGCATAAATTAGTATACAAGCCTATTATAGAATAAATACATAGCAGGAGTGCACATCTTTGAGCAAGTCTGTGCCTATGCACATGTCTGCACACCTGTTCCATGCATGCATATAAGTTAAAGATATAGATGCCAATCTTGTTGAATTGCCGATCACATTCAGCAGTATGTTGATCCTGTCAGACGGGCATGATACTGGCAAATTGGCAATGCCTCTAACTAAAAGGAAGCCAAGAGAGGGAGACCAGTACCTGTTCATTCAGAGGGCCATTGTCTGGCAAAGGAAAATAGACAGAAGTCTTGCTAGCTGCAGATTCAAATAACTGTGGTTCAATCCTTCTAGAGAAAACAGTAAAATCATGCACTGGTTGTTGTGAGGATTCTATCAAATCCAATATTCTGCATGCATTTAAAGATAAATTTCAGAATGGTGAAACAATATAATTTATCTCTCAGAAAATGGTAGAAGAAAAGAGACCAAGCATGAAACCTGTGACCATTGGCCATCATATCATTTGTTACAAGCTCAAAGATATCTTGGAGAACTTCCACAACTTTACCATATTGGTTTTCATTTCCCTCAACCTTATATTATGCCATGTAACAAGTTATGAGATCCCAATACTGGCTTTATTAGGGAAAAAGGAAAAGAAAGAATTGTTTTCAATTTAGCTTAAGCAGTTTAACACTTACTAGCAATTCAAGCAACTCAACAAATTTGCCTTGTAGAGCTGGGAGCTCACTCATCTTGAAATCCTGAAGAAAACTTGACTCTTTAATGCTTTGTTCAATTTCGTTCACAATGCTGGATACAACCCTAAACAAGAAATACCACAGGTTAACAACAGTAGGAAGGCTAAAAGTGAGAAGAACTTGAAGACATCCATAATTCCAATTTATCTGCCTACCAAGGAAGACAAGATTGGAACATTTTCTGATAGAAAGTTTGTTTTGCCGCACCAAGAATGTCATACAAAAGAATATACATATATAAATGATGTTGCTTATGTTGCTTCCTACCTCTTTTCCAGATCACCAACAATAAGAATTTCAAGGATGTACTTCACTGACTCATAGCACTCCTTTAAAGCAAAGTACATGAACTCATCTTTTCGAATCTTTTTATTAAGCTTCTTGTCCTTCCCCACAAAATCTCTTGCAATGCTCAGTGCCGTTGAAAACTAATAGGAGAGAGCAATGTCAAGGAGGAACACCAATTATGAGAGAAAATGTCAAATGTTTACATACAAAAAGTCATACCTTATTTGCAAGAAGGAAAATAGGCCAACAAATAATTCCAGGAAATAGCCCTGATGTAGGTATCATCATTAAATCCATTTCCCTGTCATGAAAAGAAATATCTGAGTTAATTAATTTGGATATATCCTTGAAGAAAACTTAAGCAACAGAAAAAAAAAAATGAACCTGTTGCTTATCAAGTCTTCTGATCTAAAAGCACTGATAATTTGGTTCCAGACTAGAACAAACTTCTGATCTAAAACTTCACTTTTCGACGCCTGAGCAAAGATCAGTTTAATGATTGGAGAGGGAGAATAGAAGACCCTCTATGCATTTATTAATGGTATTAGAAGTTCAGGATCTCATACCTTGCAAAATATGTTCTGGAAGAAACTTTTTGTTCTACTATTCTTGCCCTTTTTTGATAGCGGTGGGATAAGACAAAGGTTGAATGCAGAAGGCAAAGAGTGAAATCTACTTCTCAGCATTCCTAATGTCCGGATCTACATAAAAGTGGAGTTATTCTAGTGCTATGCAGTTTATGAAAGAAAATAAGGTCATAGTGTCATACCTCACCAAGATGATGCAAAATGCCATAAAGTCCTCCACAGACTGTACAATAAACAGAATACCAGATCTGTGTGTCCATGAAATACACCTGAGATAATTTTGACATGGTTATGAATGCTAAGGATTAAAAAACACCATTGAACAAAGTAATTATGATCCAAGAACTGATTCATTAGTTAAAATCTGCAATTTCAACTTTTCTTTTTCTTTTAAATTATGTCAACAAAGTAATTAAGTCCAATAACTAATTCTTTCCAATAAATATGCAATTTTAACTTTGCTTTTACTTTTCATTTAATTCGTCAGAAAATATGTGCAATTTTTTCATTTCAATGGTGGGATAAGGAAGATGACTGGTCTTGATCATGTAGATATGCAATATGTTTATTGATTGGCAATGAGTTTCAATCCAGTTAAAACTTACTAGATTAAAGTGAAAGTTGTTAATCATTTGGCAGAAACTTACAACTATTATAGGCGCCCACACAGCCACAATAGCACCAGCATTACTCCTGACTGGAAGAGAGTACAAATATCTTTTATTACACAAAAATAACTCTTAAAAGAAAAAAGCACAAAGAATTGAAGAATACCTTTGGGGAAAAGCTCATGCCAGTCGTATGTTTGCACACCAATTTTCATAATTAGTCTTGTCGGTGCTATTAGGGGTTTTATCTACATTGTTCGATTAGCAGTAAGAATTAAAAAGTTAGAAATACAAATGCACATGTCTAACCACAATCAAATTCAGAAAGAACATCTTTTTCATGTGTACCAAACCAAAATGCTTAGCTCTATCATATTGTCTGAACCAGATACTGATTTCTCCAATGGTTTTTGTTCTTTACTTCTAATTTTATCTCATCAAACAAATTCTGGAATGAAAAAAAATATATTTGACATTTTACAACAATTACAAATGAATCAAATGTCTTAGGCCAATACAAACTGACAAGGTGCGAAAAGTGCAGAAGACTAACTATACTGAAACAGTGCTGGTTAGCAGGGCACAAGGGTATTAGCTTTAATCTTTAACTACTGATTCGTAGCCACCAGTAGCAGCAGTTCCAGCAATAATGTTAACATATGTAATGACATAAGAAGTTCCTAAAGATTAGCTTGTTTGTGTTATGCCATAAGAAATATAAGTCTAAACAAGTCTTATACAATATAAAAGAATCTTATGGATAGTTTTTTGATTATGTGATCAGAAAAAAATGTTGCATTTTAAGTAGCTCTGCAGCTTTTCTTTTTGAATTTAATTCTATATATTATCTTTTCACCATAGAATTACATGTGACTCTTTGAAAGATACTGTTCCTTCCCATGTTGATTGTGCCCATCTACTCAAACAGTTACTGCATTCTTAGTAACATTTTATGTCTAGAATCTCCCAACCTTTATAACAAAAAAAAAAAAAAATTGATTCATTTCCAAATAGTTCTGCATGAAAATCACATATTTACAATTCATGGTATCATGATTTCGTAACACAGGATGAAGCAGTCACATTGTTGCTCACCTCAAAACTATAGCTGAACACTAATTTGGTTGACAGCACTAATATCCAGAAAAATGTATACCTGCATTGTAATAAAAAGATAAACATTAGGGTTTTTTATTTTTTTTAAACCAGATACTTACAAAGCTTCACAATGGGAACATAGGTCATACTTGAAAAGCGAAATTTGGGTCTCTTGCATTCCCCGCCCAACATATAGTCTAGGCTATAAAACGAAAAGAAACTTAAGCAATGTTTGCCAAGTTTAAGACCAATAAGCAACAAGGTTAAAGATCAGAAAATGCACCAAAACTATGAGCATCAATATGTCCATATGCTGAGACATTTACAAGGAAATTAACATGTTTAAGAAATAATTCAGCATAATCATTTTACTGAACTATAGAATTTACTTTGCAGCGATTTTCAAACAAAAAGTTTGGTATGGCTTAAGCAGCTTATTATTCACATTTTACATAATAGGAAAGAAGAATCCATAATAGTAGGCATTATTATTGTAACTCATTTTTGTTTTTGGTATTGCTAACTAACCACAGAATATGAACGATTCGATGTAAAAGTACAAAGTTTTAACAAGAAAGAGGAATTACAAAATTAATAGTATTTACCTGTGTCCACCTAGATATAGTTCTGCACATGCGGCAATTTGAGATTTCTATGTACTTGCTAACAGCAGGAACGAAAAATAAGACGAGGTCCACTGCATTAGTCATTAGGTATATTGCTGCAGCAACCATAAAGGAGGAATAGCACCATTCTCCAAGCCAGCTTCCATATTGTCCAGAATAACAAGTATATTTCCTCCTAGAATGAGCATAAACAACGGGAAGAACAATGGACCATATCACTGCAAAAGCAAGCCTTAGGACTAGTCTCCTTTTTTGAGATAACTCCATTGTATTTCTTGCTTTCCATGTGAAGATAATATCAAGAATTGCTGCAAGTCCAAAGCTGTATAAGATTCACATTCTTTGTGTACATATTCATGCATATGCATACATCTGATTAATGTATTTGAGAGAGAGAGAGAGAAGAGAGAGAAAGAGAGGCACATACACAAACATAAAAACATATACAAGTATGTGTGTGTGTGTGTGCATGTAAGTAAATGTGTGTATGTGTCCATATATATATATATATATATATATATTTGTATGTACATGACACCTGAAAATTCTCCGATGAAATGATATTCTTAATCTATTTTTCCTCAAAACAAATAATTAATTTACTACATCGTGATCATTAAGTTGCTTCTCTGCTTCAGTAGAAATTTGGTGGAATGTGATATAAAGGGGGGAGAGAGAGAGAGAAATATTCTATTGTATGTCCTTTTCAGAACTGGCAATTTCTTTGTTAATACTAATGTATAGTAAGCTATATTAACTCATACCTTGTATGAGCTTAAGAATCGCAGATGTAATGAAGACGCTCATAATGTCCTCCAATATTACTGCTTCAAACACTTGGAGTGGAGATCCAACATCATGGCAAGCCATAATTATCATTGCCTGAAAAGGAAACAGAGATGTAGACCAACCCAGCATATAAATCACAAGTAGCAGTCATCCAGTAAACAAACCTGAAGGGATAGTATAAAAAAGCTCCACATCCTATCAAAGCTCCTAAAAACTTGCCAAAAGGAACGGATCTCTACAAAATTTGTCTTCCCTAACCATTTTGGTTCACGATTCTCCTCCAAAGTTACCTGCTGGAGAAAAAAAGATGCATCAGAGACATATATGGTGGGCATATGTCAAATATGGACTAGATAGGGCCTTGCAGCTGGTAGGGAATTTTATTAGTTCTGCATTCAAGCATAACGTCATGATCGCCATACTCTTTGTGCAAGAACTGCTAAAACTGCACAAGGAGGAGAGGAAGAGAAAGAGATAAGGAGGGAGGGAGACAGGGATAAGAGAGACAACAAGAGAGTATTGTAAGTCAAGAACAATAAAGCTCAACTAATTTGAAGCCATCTTCATGATATTTCTCCTGCACCAAACAATGAGAAATCTTTCTTCGCCTATACCTATTAATTATGTAAGACAAAGAATATGTCACAATTACAACTTATGGCCCAAACGAATATCCTCAAAGAGATTGGTGCCTTTGTAGTAAATTCTAAACACATGAGGATACACTTGTAAATGGGTGTGTGTAAATGTGCACGACTGCATGCACATATTTATTATCTAAAAACAATCTAGAGCACCAAGATTGATGTCAGAATTTCCAGTTCTCTTCCTGCATAGGATATTTGAGTAAGAGGCATCTAAATGCATCTCTAACCAGATTTGATTAAGAAGCATTTTTACATCATCAAGATAATCGAACTAATGACTAGCTCCAAGTTACTTGGAAAACTTTTCAATCTAAAAAGAGTTCGAATGATGGCTCTTTGTGAAGTTCTCCACAGTATAAATCCTAACGTCTAACATTGAGGGATACCATCAATATACGCAATAAAAGAGGACAGGTTACAGTTAGTATATCTGTGTTTATGACCTTGGTTAAAGACTTAAAGCCAATTCAATGATCTGCTAAGTACGAGTTCAAATAACAACAGTAAGCTATGCTCCCTGGTTTCTTCCACCAGCTAAATCTGTGAAACAAATTTTAACACGTAGAGATGGATAGCAGCATACTTTCACATCTTTGTTTGGTAAATACACTATATTATAATCATTCATAGTGACGGTCACTTACATCATTTAACCCCTGTTCTTCATCTTCAGTTCTTTTTTCCTTCCTCTTTTCTCTAGCAGTCCTAAAAATCTTAGCCTTGCGCTTCTTAGGAGATTGTGTGCAGAAAAAATCATGTTCCTGACGCATGGGCCAACCTATTTGGAAACAATCAGGAGACCTGAAGAAATATTGACAATTATAATTACCCAATGTCTTAACTTCTCGTGTAATAATTTGGTGGACAAGCCAAAGCAGAGGTTGAATTCAAAAGAAAAAGAAATGAAAACCTAACCAGAAAAACTCATTCAAGTCATCATAATTCCTCCATGTAGAATGGTCAGCCGTTCCACTTTTGTTTTTCTCAGCTTCCTTCAGTTTTTGAAAACAATATTAGATACTTAAAGCAAATCGGAAGGATGGAACTAAACTAAGCAATACCTCATATACGACTCTGTATATGGGGGTAACCACATTGCTAAGGAAAGACTCATGGCCTCCTCCATATGCTGGCATGACTGTATCACCAGTTGTCATGCTAACAGCACCAGTTAACATACCATGAAATTCATATGCCATCTGATGTAAAGCATCAACAGGTTATCATAAAATTGTCAATAACTGCAAAAACACAAAAATCTACTTTTACATATTATATGAAGTTCACTTAGTGACCGTAAATGCTCATGCAAATCATCCAATTATTACGAGCCTAAAATCATGTTCACAAGTTGGTCATATCATCTCCTGATGACTGATATCATCCTATTCCATAACGGTCTAAGGTTCAGATCATTTAAAAGGAATAAACATAAAAGATATATAGAATGGATAGGTGATTTTACAAAAGTAAAAAATTCCAGTACATATGCAAATAACCAACCAGCCAAAATCTAAAGGCAAGGAGTAGTCAAGATTTTTACAGAACCAACTTGCTTTCCTAATAATTTCCTTTTTAAATTCCCTGAAGGAGGAAGAGAAGATATGTGATGGTCATATTTTGAAGTTGATAAAGGGACACCATTTATGGTTATAGTTCTTCCAGAAATCCTAGAGATATTCAATTGTTCGCAAACTCCTGCTGTTTCAAGTCATCTGCAATGATCTCTAAGTCTTTCACAGACATGGTTTATGCTCTCTATACTTAAAAACTATGACCGTATTACGCCATAAGGAATTAATCAACAGAACCAGACTTTTCAACTTACATGGTGGAAAATATAGCAAAGACATTCTGGCATAAGTCGCAAGTTTGCAGCCTCTCCCCAAATAAGAAGATAAAGCCCTATATATAGAATTTTATATTGCTGGGCATCTTGTTTGACACAAGGCAACCTGCAATGACAAATAATACAGTTGTTGCATGAAAATCTGAAAATTAAAAAAGAAATCAGTAAAATTTTCAGAATAGGGGAGTAATGAAACCTAGGCTTGGCCTAGAGGTTACCCCTCTTAAGAGGGTAGAGGTCTAAGGTTCAGATCCTCTCTGCCTCCTTAGACTTCTTTGCAATGTACCAACAAAAAAAAAAGGTAGCAATGACAGAAAAGAAAAAGTGCAACAAGGAGATAGAAGAAATTAACAGCAAAGAGATGAATAGAAATTGATTAACGATAATACTTGTAGACAGAAGAAAAGTACACCAGTTGCCAGCATAAGATTAAAAGATAGAAAATTAAAGAGAAAAATCTGAAATTCAATTCACTCTCTTACCTGATATTGCTTTTTCTGCCCAAAAATTTGCACCAGTTTGTATAATTTTTGAAAAACTTTCTCATTAGCTCATCAATAGCTGCATCAACTGGCTGGTATCATAACATGCATGTCAAATTCAAGCACGTCTAAGTCCAAAATAAAAATTAAAAAAAAAACAAAAGAAAGAAGCTAAAACACCTTCGAGGCAGATGATTGCTTCTGAGGTTGCCGAATGAAGACATTAGCAAGGAGTAGAACAAGATGTTCCCTTTGGTTGGCTACACTTTCTTTCTGGAAAAAGACACATAATACAAGTCTCATGCGAGTCTTCAAAGTGTTAGATGAAGCACAAAGAGCACTACTTCATAACTTTTAAATTTTATGTGGCCTAGCAGGACAGATTACTTTGTGTAGTCACAGAAAGAGAAATGAATATATATATATATATATATATATATATATGTTTCAGAATACCTGGAACCCAAAAGAATACTGAAGAAATTCAAACAAATCCAAGAAAGCCCCACGTTTCTGAAAGTTTTGGGCTGAGGGTAAACCACGGACATTACGAACAACTAAAATAGCAGCTTTAATCTGCAAGAGTTCATTAGTTTGTCAGCAAATCTATTCCATTCAAGGATATAGAAAAATTCAATGCACATTTGACCAGTTTCTCCAACTGCAGCAATATAAAGGCTCAACAGCAGAAGAAACACGTGCTTAAGTTTCTCAGAAATCATGTGACAACTAACTGCCTCTTACAGATAAAATATCGAGAGAAAAATATCAGAGTTTATCATGCAGAATCAGACCTCAGGGAATTTCATAATTGCTTGCTGAATACCTCCATGGTCTAGTGGCAGAATATTGTAGGCAAACAACTCTGGTTTATCTTGGACGCTATCTCTGTCAGCAAGGGCCTTCAAAGGAAAAAAGAGATACATCATAAGATGACAAGTATAGTAACAAAATCCTGCTAGTACAAAATACTGTGGTAAGAAGGCTAAAGCATAAGTAAAGAAAAATAGAACCTGAGGACCAGCTGAAAGTGTTTTTAATACTTCGTACAACACTGAAGCAATTCTGCATGCATCTATCAACTTCTCCCCATGACTAATTCAGAAAAAAAAAAAAAAAAAAGCTACAAATTAATTTCATGTAGAGGACATATATTCTCTCTAAACAAAATAAGCAGCACAAAAGCCAATAGAATATCCAAATAATTAAGCATGTTACCTATTTTCCAAATCAAATGCTCCAGTGTGTTGCGTGATATATCTCCTATTTTCATCATAAACATATTTAAGTTCTCGTAAGTCACTCGATTCCTGCCTTGTTGTTTTGGTAATTTCCTCATCCTATCAAAATCGCATAGAGCATGCAAGGGACAATAACTTAAATAAAGCAAGAAATAAATGCTGGGTTACAATTCCAAAGGGCCATATACTAGGAAAAGAAAATGACTAAACACAGAAATTCATGCAATGAACATGCTGAAACGAAATGCTATAGAAGCAGCAATCTATGGATAGTAACTGAAGAAGGATCATGCAGCAAAAGTAGATGAACCTGACTCTTAATTATGAATTAGTCATTATTTTTCTCATTAAATTTATTTAAATCTCATCACCATTATTTTGCACTAATCAATTTCTTTGTTTCCTGGCCATGCTGTCATAAGCAGGTTTATGCCCTTAATTGGCCTCAAGATTTTATCATAACCAATTTTTGGTATGAGACTAACTTGGGGATTAGTAGCAGCATCCTAAAGTAACCTCACATGAAGGGTTGATTTAAAGAGATTTGGCTTTGGCCTTAGGGTGGCTCTGCTGAGGGACTAGTCCATTAACCTTTTCAGTAAAGCTCAAATACACAAACCCTTATCCTTGGCAACATGTTGTTGCTCCAAATTCACAATTTTCTGCTGTTAGAGTTTTATTGACACTTCACCTTCTTATTGGAGGATGCCAACTTCAATGACACCATAAATACCTGACCTTTTCTCCAGTCAGGGGTTTCTAGGATTAAGTCAGTCAGTTACGTTGTCCACTCCTCTCTTGCTTATCTACATGGTAGCAATTAGAGACCAACCATGGAGCAAGCACAGCATACACATTTAACTAAAACAAGATTATTGACATTTCTTCTACATTTATAGCACAATAAAATGGTGAGAAATTCTAGAAATAGCAAGATAGATTAACATAAATTGTGTAAACATACTTAAGAAAGCTAAATAATAGAATTAAATATCAAAATGGATTACATAGATTATTATGTCTGTGCTATTCTAATGGAAGTATGAAGATGAGGTGAGAAATATAAGAGTTTAATTAAAGGTGGGGCAAATTGGTTAGGCTGGAATAAAAAACAAGGACAAGAAAGTAAAACTGTAATTAAAAAAGTATAAAATGTAATGAGTACATATGGCATGTAGAAGAGCAGTAAAATTATAGGTAAAATAGGGAATAAAGTAGTTGACATATTGTAACGCCCCAATTCCATATTGGAAAAATGTGTGGATAAAGAATAATATATATGTAGAGACTTAAATCTAAATCTGTGAGGGGCCTTTTGTGGGACAAAACCGTGAAACTTTCAAGTCAAAGCGGGTAATACCTCTCAGATTGGATGCAGGTCTCCACAAATGATATCAGAGCGGTCACCAGTCGGCAACCATGAGAGTCACTAAGTGCTATAAGGTGGAGCCGTGACTCCCAAGTGCTACATGGTGGGGCCGTGGGAGTCACTAAGTGCTACACAGTGGTCTAGTGTAATCTTGATCTTTTGGTTGGACTCGGCTTGACAGGAACGTCAAACTTTAAAGATGTGGAGATTGTAACAAAATTTTCGGGTCAAAGTGGACAATACCTCACAAGTTAGGTGCAAGTCTCCACACATATATACATGCACACACATACACTCCATTCAGTATTTAAATTAGTTGACACATATACATACACACACATATACACTCCATTCAATATTGCATTTGTCTCACAAATGAAACAATAGAAAATAAAAAATAAGAAAGTATGAAAAATCTGATCTAATAACAGGAAAATTTACTACATTGAGCAGGATAAAGACCTAAATAGCATTATCCCGAAAAGAATTCTGGGGAAAAAACAGGAATTCAGGGATGAGTGTGCAGAGAATGGCATGGTGAAGTTGAAAACCTGTATGTACAAAAGGTCATAGGAAGTGAGGAAGAGTGATGCACATGAGAACCAAGGCATCCGATAGCATACTGACTGAACATACTAACAATAGCTTTAGCTCCTCTGCTCTAAATGAATGTGAAAAAAACTACCTAAAACGAAAATTTTAAATTTATATGTGGATGATAAGCTTCAATCTTATTTCTTACACGTTCAAGCCGCTCAAGGAGCAAAGTTTTAAACTGTCGAACACCCCTTCCTGTTGAATTGCGGTCCATGTTATGCGCTATTTCAAAAGCATGAAAGCGACCTGCCCCAGAAAGCCACATAATTAGTGTTGGATGCGTTGTGTATATTTTCAATCCAAACTGAATTTCGCTGAATCCCAGCAGCATTGTAATTAGCCAAAAAAAAATTTTCTCTAACTGATTTTTACAGTTGTTTTTAAAAGAGTAAATTAAAAAAAAAAAAATCAGCATTTACAGCCTAAATGAGTACATGACTAACCATACAAGAACTCCAAGTCTAGAATATGAATTTCTCAATATCACAATGGTGTGTTAGCTTCAAATTAGTCTCCTTTATTAGGTAAAACTGCGAAAGGTAGTAAAATGAAGGAAAAGAAGAAATAAAGTTGAAATTTAAAACCTCAAATTTAACAAGCCAGCAACAGGAAAAACAACAACCTCCATTACAGAGCTCAATTAATAGCCCTTTGTTTGTTGTCATTCCCCAAAATTTTTCCTATTAAACTCCATTTTATTGAAAGGATAAAACTTTTGACAATTCATACTCAAATTGGAGAATAGAAACGCATCCAAAAAGGATCAGGAACTCCGTGTTTATTTAACTTTCTTGAAGCAGTTAATGATAAAGGATATGCAATTGGTCAACACTTTTCAAGCCAAAATAATCAAAACCATAACCCCATAAATCACTGGAATTTCCAATCCTCAAACCCCAAACTTTTCATCAGGCAAACTATAACATGAATTTTTATTTGAAACCCAATTCACCAAAAAGCAGGAAAACCACAAAAACAATAAAAGAAAGAAAGAAAAAAGACTTACAATGATAAGCAACACGAGGAGCTTTCCATTCCAACATGTTAGCAACTCTAAGAAACTTTTGAATTTCAGAAGCCAAAGTAGGAGGCAGTCTTTCACTGTTAAACACTTCAGAAACATACCCACCACTTCCACTACTGCTACTTTCACCATAAGTAAGTGACCTTGTAACTCCCTTACTTTCTTCTTCTTCTTCTTGGGCAATGATTGGTTTTTTGTTGGTTTTGGGTTCTTCTTCAAAGATGGGATCAACAGGAACAATCTCATTTGACATGATTGGTGTAGCAGTGAAAAGGAAAGGAGGAATGGGAGTGAAGGGTATATAACAAGTGGGATTTTGATGGCTTTGATTTGCATTGTGATTGCTTTTTAGAGTTTGCTTAATGGGTGTGTTTTCCGCTTTGGTTTTTGCTTTTTGATGGGAAATTGAAAGATGATTTGTGATTTTTGTTTGTGTGATTTGGTGTTAGAGCTTTTTCTCTGTCTCTCTGCTTTTGCTTTTTTGAGTCTTTAGTGTTTTTTATACCAAGTGAACAGACAAGAAGACGAGTCTTTTGAAAGTATGATGCATGGGCGGTTTTTTTAATGCTATAAAGGAAAAGCAAACTAGCAAAGAAAACAGTGAGGGATCAAAACCTAAAAAATTTATAAAAATTTAGAGTTTGCTTCATTAGCCGTTAAGAAAACTAGAAGAAACATGTGTTATTTTTTCAGGTTTTCTTTCTTAATTGCATTTTCCTTGAAAGAACAATTGCATATATAAAGTTTAAATTTAAAATTTGATGTATATTAATTTTTTAAAAATAATTTAATGAATGATTTGTATTAAATTTTTAACTCTGAAATAATCTTTTACTTTTTTGGTGTACATTCTTTGGATTTGCATAAATTTTTTGGGCATCGGACCAATGTTAGTTGCCTCCAACAAGTTAAGCTGTAGGGCTAAGGAATATGCAGAATAAGAAATTAATATAAGTAGTCGATTCTAAAGGTCAAACAACTTTAGGATGGAAAAGCTTTTGATTACTTTTCCATGCAAATTAATAGTGTGAAAAAGAAAACAAATTGGACACGTTCTTTGCTTATGGTTGTCTGATTATTTGCGATCTTTGTCAGAAACTACCAACTCATTATGCAAATAAATAATTAAGACAAATTATTTATTTTATAAGCAATAACTATTTTTTTTAATTTTTAATATTCTCTTAAACTCTCAACTTTTACTTACTCAATACATTTAAAAATTTGACGATCATGTATGTCATCTGAATTTATTATTAAATTTTATACAAATATATAAAAATTAAAATCTTTGATAAAAGAAATTCAATGTAAATAAATTTTTTTTTGTGTATAATCTTATATGATAGTCATATGTCTTGTAATTTATCTCAATAAATAATTGAGACAAATTATTTATTTAAAGCAATAACTATTATTTTTTAATTCTTCTCTAATCTCTAATTTTTATATGCTTAACTCACTTAAAAAAAATATTACACACTTAAATCTTCTTAAATTTGTAAATTTTAAAAATTTAATCAGTATTAATTAATACACGATTGACAGCAATACAACACTTATAATTTTTTATTACTTGATGCATAAAAATTACAGTTTTTTATATTAAGCAATACAACACATATTAAGTAAAGACTTTTAAATTCGAAGTTAAAATTTTATTTTTTATAAATTCATAATTTTAACTTTTTAAATTTATATAAATATTTATATTACAAATAAATAATATAAAAAAATTATCATTTGTGCATCCCACGAAATTAAAGCTAATGTTAAGTATAACAATTAAAACGGACTATGTACGAGCACCGAAAAGATGATAAATGACGTCCTGAAAATCGGAAACATTTGGCATGTTTGAATAATTTTTTTACTCATTAAGAATATAAAATAACAGGGTTACTATTAAATTAAGTATTTGTTGGGCCAATTTTAATGAAAAAAATAGTTTTAGAATTAAAAATGGGATTTGAAATTTTTAGATTCAAATTTTATCATAAAAATAATAAAAGGTTTATGAAATAAAAGAGATTACATGTAAAATATATATATATATATATATATATATATATATATATATATATATATATATATATATATATATACCGGGAGATTCACGTCAAATGAGTGTTTGTCGTCTATCGAGTATGAGTTAGGTGAGTAAGGCAATAGGTTATGAATTTTAATATGAGATTGGGTGGTAATAAATTTAACAATTTAAAATACGATAAAATAATATAATAAAAAATAAAATAAAAAAATTATTAATGTGATATAATTAAAATTTTAATAAAAGTTATATATAAATTTAATAAAAATAAAATATATATTATATTTTATATATAATAAATAATTTTTATATAAATTTCATTATGAATATATAACTGGTTAATAATTAACACGATAAGAGTGCTTTTGTTTAAATTACTGTTGTAGCTGACTCCACCAAATTAGATGATGTGCATAGTAGTTTCCACTTTGTTCGAAAAGCTTTGGGTAGTCATCAAGTTTTTAGTGTAATACTTAAAAGCGTTTAAGGGAAAATTAACAGTCTAATTTTAAATCAAATTTCCTTCTTTCTCTTTATTTGTACTAAAATTTTATTTTTTTGATATAATAATCATAAACAAAAAGCCTTGGGTGGTTTTCCTTAAAAAGGTACAAAGTATAGGATGACTTGTTTTGGTAACAACATTATATAAATCATTATATGATTGTTTGATATGGGATGGGATGATTATTTTAAAAATAATTTATATATGGTAATTAAATTATTTTATTTAATAAATGTTTAGTGATATTATGTAATGATAATTTTTAATTACAAAAAAAATATATACTATTATCTTAGAGGTTGATCTAATTTTTATAAAATAATAAAAAAATTTTACTACCAAGTTGAAGTAATATGTAAGATTCTATTTATTTCGTAAAACATGATTTTAAGAAAATGATTTATGCATTATCAAGTGTCTGTTTGACAAAAAACTAATTAATTAATGAAAAATGACTTACTAATGAACACAAAATAAGATAATTTTTCTAAAAATTATATTATTCTTTTGAAAAAGGGAAGACAATTTTTGAAAAAGAACTGTGTATAAGTAAAACTATATATTAATGCATTTGAGCATAATTTTATTCAAGTCGGATTTTATACATGATTTTTTAAAACTTAAACTTAATTTGACGCAACTCAAAATACTATTATCTTAATAAATAATATTTTATTTAATTTTATTTAAAAAATTAAAATATTAATATAAAAAGTCTTTTAATATTTTAATTTTAAATATTTTATCGCTCTACTCAAGTAAGATTTTAAATATAATATTTTAATCCCAAACTTGGTTTGATTCGACTTGAAATATTATTATATTAATAAAAATATTTTATTTAATTTTAATAAAAAATTAGAATATTATAAAAGTCTTTTAATATTTCAATTTTAAATATTTTTATTTTGTATATTATTAAAAATAAATATTTTTAATATTTCAATAATAAATAATTTTATATTATTATTATTATTATTTTATAATAAATAATAACATATATAATAATGTTTTTATTATTATTATTTTTAGTTTAAAATATATAATTTTATATTTTATTTATTAAGGTATTTATATTAATATTTTAATAATAAATATAAATAAAAAATATTTTTGTTACATTTAATAATACATACTTTTAATATAAAATATAAATATTTTAATACTATAAATATTTTAATAATAAATATTATTATTCTAATATTAATAAAATAGTATTTAAAGAATAGTAATATTGTTTTAAATATTTTTAAATATTAATATAAAGAATAATAAATAGTTTAATTTTATGTATTTTTTATGTTAACATAATATTTTAATATTAAATATTATTAAAATATAATTATTCTTGAATATTAATAGTTTTAATGATAAATAATTTTAATATACTTTAATAATAAATAATTTTTAATATTTTAATACTTATATTAATATTATTTCAAAAAAATTTTCAAAAAAAAACCAAACAATAAAAAAAGTTTTTCATTAACTTATCCAAACAATAGTGTAAACACTTAATTTGGTCCAAACCCAGATTAATTGGGCTTGGTCCAATTGGGTAACCCATTTCATTCTATTTTATTTTATTTTTTATTTTTTTATTTTTTATTTTGTATTTTTATATTTTGTATTTTATTTATTTTTTATTACTATTTATTAATATATATTTTTTTATTATTTATCTGTTAATATATATACTTTATTATTATTTATCTATTAATTAATATATTATCTTTATTTTTTTTCTTTTCTTCCTTCCTTTTTCTACTTACCCGATTGAAATTAGGATTAGGATAAAAACTAGAGTTCTACCGTGAATTTGGGATCAATCAGAGTCCAGATTAGATTTAAAGATTGAATCCCAATCCAAGATGGAATTGGGATTGATCAGAAACTCTTCTGATCAATCCCTATAAATAGGTGCAGGAATAAAACAGAAAAGAGGACACATAGAGAAGAAACAGAAGCTAAAAAAAGGTTTTGGTGTGTTAGAACAGCTCTAGGAATCGGTGGGAAGTTTTCTTTTAATTTTAGGCGATTTTTTTTCTGGAAATTTTTGGAAAATTACCAAATTTCGGTTGAATTTTTCACCCAAGTTTGAATTTTTCGTTGAAATTTTTGGCATCGATTGAATTTTTTGATCAGCTACCTAGTTTTCAACAACTATTTTCAGAAACCGACCAACTTTTCGACGAACTTCCGACGAAAAACGCAGATTCCAGTGACATTTTTCAGAATTTGACGAGATTCAATCGGAGTTCTTCGTTTGTTTAGAGAGAGGGAGGAGAAAAAGCAGGGAAGAGAAAGAGAGAGAAGGAAGAAAGGAGAGATCTGCTGAAAAACAGAGGTTATAGCCTTTTATACTTGCTGAAAACCACATCGTTTTGGCATTACTATTCCCAAAGGATCCGTGTGTTTTGAAATTGGGCAAACCGACCTGAGCACTAACCCACGTGTGACCCGAGTACTAGCCGACCCTTGGAGCCTAGTCGACGCCCCTGAGTCGCGTCTTCGAGCCGCCCTTTCTTCCTCAAGCCGAGCTTAGCCGAGCCGCTAAGCCAAGCCGTTCCAAAGTTTGTTTTTTCATTTATTTATTTATTATTATTATTATTATTATTTATTGATTAGATTAGAATTATTTAGTATTTTTTATTTTATTTTATTTTATTCTATTTTTATCTTTATTTTTATTTTTATTTTTTTATTTTCTTTAAATAAAATTCCAAAAAAAAATATTTTTAAGGAAAAGTTGAAAGTATCAATTTTCCTTGAAAATAAGTTTTTCTAAAAAAAAAATATTTTTGAGGAAAAGTTGAAAGTATCAATTTTTCTTGAAAATAATTTTTTTTTAAAAAAGAGTTTTTTTGAAAAAAAATTGAAAGTATCAATTTTCCTTGTATGAAAGCAATGGGGTTTTTTTTTTAAAAGAAAAAGATTTATACCTAAAGTTGAATCATTTTTTTCTTTTTTCTTTTTGTTTTCTTGAATTTTCTTTTAAT